CTGCCCTGTACCTGTCCACAAATCCTCTCTTGCCCACTGGGTCCCAGCTCAGGCCTCCCCGACCCCATAAATAGTTACTTCCTCCCTGCAGTGGCAGCACTGTTCGCAGCACCATCAATAGCCCTTTTCATCTTAAGTTGAAGTTACTTCTCTCTATGTCAGTCACCCCCACTGGCCCAGGTGCTATCTGGTATCTCCCATGGCTGGCTGAATAGTAAAACTTCTTCAGTTTCTGTCCTGCTGGTAACTATCACAGGAGGGATAAAGATTAGACCTTAAGAGGAACTGGTAAAGAGGAACGTAGCAGGGCAAATATGCGAGTCATCTGTCATCCCTCAGCCTGGAAACTTCCCCCAGGGCAGAGTCATCAATCTACAGAAGGTCAACTCCCAGGGGACTTTCATGATACAGTCACCCAACCAAATACCAGAGAGGGCAACTGCTTTGCCCAAGGTCACACTGCTGCTTAGGGGCAGGGCTGGGACTAGACGCAAAGAAGCTCTGGAAGAAGTTTGGGCAGATGGCTACTTCATCCCATGAATGTCTTCCCTCTCTGCCCATCCTAACTGCCTCAAGGATGTCCCTGATGTTTAATATAGTCAAGGAACTACTAAGGCTCACTCACAGCTCTTGTTGGGATCTTGGCTGTCTGGAGTTGCCAAAATCCTGTGGATTGGCGGGGATCTAATTATTACCATTTTAGAGATTGGCAAACCAAGGCTGCTCATGGCAGAGGCAGGATTTGACATTAAGTAGTGTTCTTATAGAAGGGTCTGGAAAGCAAAAAATCCTGCATGAGGGGCCGGGCACGGTGGCCCATGCTTGTACCGAACTACTTGGGAGGCTGAGGCAGGAGGATCCCATGAGCCCAGGACTTTGGGGTTGCAGTGAGTTATGATGACGACACTGCACTCTACCTAAGGCGACAGAGCATGACTCACGTCTCAAAAAAAAAAAAAAAATCCCACATGTGCAGTCACTATTTACAATAATCATGACTGCTGACTTGCTGATGCCTGGGGAATCCCCTCACTCCCACCAGTTCCTCCGTAAATGGGGCCTCTGTCCATCTCGCACAGGGTGTCTGACTTAGGAAAGAACCTGAATACCCGCTCTCGCAAGCCATCCAGGCCTACCAGATAGACCATCGCCCCCGAGTCATAACCTTTAATGGGGAAATCACCCTTTGCTGTGCCCGGCACTTGACAGTGGCACTGCCCCCATCACCCCCAAGGTTGGTACTACAGTGGGAGATGGGGAAACTGAGGGTCCCAGATAAAGCACTAGTGACCCATGGTAAAAGCCAGTTAAGTGGCAGGGCTGGGACTCGAACCCAAGTCTGACCCTAGCACCCCCCCCCCCACCGCTCTCTACCCCGCCACGCCAGGCCTTCCCACCCAGCACGTAGACCACCTGAAGCCTTTCACCGTCTGGGTTACTCCGGGAAAGTAACCTCCTCTCCCAAGGTGCCCATGGTCAGGAGCTTTGCTTTGGGGGCCAAAGGGGAGAAAACAGTATGCGAAGAAGCAAAGGAAACGCGAACCCCCCAGCGCCGACACAGCCTTTTCTCTGAGCCCGACGCTGTCTAATGGCCAAGAGGAGAGGTCGCCCTACCGACCCCTGGCACCTGCGAAACCGAGCGCCGGGCTGGCTAGCAGAAGCGAAACCTCAGAAGTCTCCAGCCTCCCCCGCTCGGTTCCGGGAACCCGCGAGCCAGGCTTCGCGGAAACTTGCCCGGCGGCAGCCGCCTCCGGCCCCGGGACCGCCCCGACCGCAGCCCGCAGCCTGGGGCCGGGAGGTGCGGGGCCCGGCGCGGTCGGGCCCGAGCAGCAGCGCGACGCGCGCTTCCGCCCCGCTCGGCTCCGGCGGCGGCCGCGGCGGCCCCACAATCCCCTTCTGGCTCCGGGGACGGGCAGGGCGGGGCGGGGCGGGGCGAGCGGGCGGAAATAATTTTCTGTTTGGTCGTCTCTGCCCCAGTCCGTGCGCCGCGGGACGCGCGAGACCGGCGGAGATGCCGGAGGCGGGAAGCGGGAGCGGGAACGCGCTGCCCTGGCACGCTTAGGGCGGCGGAGAGGGAGCGAGCAGGGATTGAGCGCCTACTGTGTGCCTTAGGGCTTTACAAAAGGATTTTCGTTTGGTCCTCTCTACAGCCCTTGCCAGAGGGCATTAACGCCCCATTTACGGAGGGACAAGCTGAGCCTCCGAGTGGCGAAGTCATTCGCCGAGTCTCACAGCCAGGATCTGCGCGACACCCCAAATCAGTGTTCAGTTACGCCAAGGAGAGTACGATGAACTTGAAACCACTTGTTGGCAGAGTACGGCTCTTACTCGTTTTTTTGTGGATCGGCTCACTGTGGGCGCTCAGGAAGATAAATGTCGGAAGCTTGAGAATTATCCTGACAGCTCAGCCTTGGGTACCCGCCGCCAATTCAGCCCAGCCCGCGGGCACCAGTTTTCCTCAGACCTCGGAAGAGGACATTTTGCGGGCGCGCCCTCAGAAGGAACAATCATCCCAGCTTCGCACGGGCACACGACCAACACGCAGTTGCGGAGCCGTAGCGGAAGACAGACTGGGTTCAAATCCCGGCTCTGCTGCTTTCAGGCTGTGTGACTTTAGGCAAGTCATTTCTTCCGTCGGAACCTCGGTTGCTCCATCTACAAAATGGGGATTAGCCCCACCCTAGAGAGTTGTGGGGAGGATTAAACGAAACAATGTTCCTAAAACAGTAAACGCACAAGTGTTGTCACCGGTCCATCCCACAAGTTTCGGGGGCGCACCGGGCGCGGGGTGACCCGAGACAAAGGCTTCCCAGCCCCTGCCTCCAGGTCGTTCACTCCTGGGAGTAGGGGCCAACAGGCCTTCGAGTGGCCCCGGTCTGGCCAAACCTGAAACTAGGGCCACCTTGGCGGCAGTCGGTCCGCAAAGCAAATATTCAGAAACTCGCGCATGACTAGGGCTGACATTTTTTAGTTTAATCTTCTTGCAGTTTTATTCTTGCTAGTAAAGGTAATTCGTTTCTCCTCTGTGTCTGGTTTAACTTTCGTATGAGTGAAATTCACAAATCTGACCGATAAGCCAAGGCGTGGCAGTCCTTGCCGGAATCCTGGCCCCTGGCAATAACCTGGTTCACAATCCCTCACCGCAGGGGAGGGGGGCCGCAGATACACAGGCTTCTCCTGCTCTGCCAGCTTAGACGGGGCCTCTTCGTCCCAGCAGCCCTCCGGGAATTCCCAGTGTCCAGGCTGGAGCGGGAGAGGAGCGGGGATGCAGCTTCCCAGACCGCCCCAAACTCCCGCCTCACCAGGATTAAAGGAGTAAATCCCTGACGCCACAGACCAGGTCAAGGACAAGTTCTCCCCCGCCTCACTCCCCCCTCCTGGGCGGGGATTCACCCCCCCTTCCGGATGAAAGGTACTAAAGAGACGAGGTGGAGGGGGGTGGCGGCGGGCCCCGGCCCTTGATGTTCCGGTTGAACAGGTGCTAGTGAAAAGGAGGCGGACCCGGCGGAAGAGTCTGCCAGGGGGGCAGTTTGCTGAGGGGGGGCGGCGGCCTCCTCTACCCCCAGTCCCCCTGCGGGTCTTCCCCTCGCCTCTGTCAGCCCCTCCCCCGCAGGAAGTGTTCTCGGCGCCAGGTCTTTGAAGTGTAGCTGAAGCCCCCAGGGCTGCCTTCTCCCCGTCACCACCCCACCTCCCGCTGGGGGGGAATGACCTTTGGTCCCCGCAGGCGTCGACCCCCTCCTTAGGAAGTGTGTATGGGTCGGATCTCGCCCCCCCAGCCCACGTAGGTCTTGGGGAAGAAGCCTTCGGGCTGACGTCCCTCATCGCTCCCGTAGACTTTAATCCTTTGGCGTGCTGCGTGTGTTGTGTTTGGTTTTGCCTAGAGGTCAAGTGTAACTTGTTCGTGAGCACCTCCGTAGTTTCGGGTGTCTAACTTGCGTGGTCTCAGCGCGCCTGTGGGGCTGGAACTGGGGTTTGAGTCTCTGCGAGGGTCAGGTGGAGTGGCTGCATGAAGCTAGGCGTGAGTCTGTGCGCCTGGCGGTGTGCCTCTAAGGGGTCGGAGTCCTGTGCGCGCGTGTCTGTGAACTCGACGGGAAGCTCCCTGAGGGCAGGAATATATGTTTTCTTAACTAGATCCCAGCGGCTGGCATGTAGTAAACGTTCAGTAAATAATCTGTCCAATGAATAAATGCGCGTGAGAGTGTCTGTTCTCCAAAGTGGCAGCCGAAGAAAGAGCCCATAAGCGGCCATCTAAAAAGACCCCCACACACGGAGGGGCGAACGGCCCACGTCGCTCCTATTCCTTCTAGCGCCCCTTCCCCTGGTCTCCACCCGTAAGTTTCCTTGGGGTTGAAGAACACACCTAGAGACGAAGACCTGGGCGGAGGGGGGTGGAGAGCAGGACCGCGGGCCCGAGACAGAAGGGCAGGCAGAGAGAGGGCTAGGGAGCAACAACCGAGAGCCATAAAACGAAAAAGAAAGAAGGAAAAGAAGCACGGAGCGAACAAGCGAAAAGCTCCCTACCAAGCCAGGCTTTGTTCCCTGAACCTAAGACTTTACCCGGCGGCGGGCGGCGGGCGGGCCGGGAGCGAGCGAGCGGAGGCGCGCGGCCATGGCTGCCGCGGCCGGGCAGGGCGGGGCGGCGCGTGAGCGGGCGCGCGGGCGCGGGGCGGCGCGGCGGGAATTTTATTGGGGGGGGTTGGGGGCCCCCTCGGTGGCCGCCTCCAGCGGCCGGGCTGCGCGGCGGGGGGTAGTCTAGGCGAGCGGCGCGGAGGGGGCGAGCCCGGCGTGCGAGTCTCATTGTTGGGGGGGGGGCCCGCCGGGGCATGAGGGCGAGAGCACGGCGGGGGGGGCGGCCAGACAGAGCGAGCAAGGAGGAGGAGGAGGAGGACGCGGAGGAGGAGGAAGGAGGAGGCAAAGAAAAGAAGCGGCGGCGGCGGCGGAGGAAGAGGAGGAGGGGGCGAGGAGGCGCGCGGCCCCCCCGCTCCCTCCCTCCCCCCTGACCCCCGACCCCCGCCGGCCGGCCCCCCGCCCCAGCCCCGGAGGGAGCTCATGGGAGTATGAAGGAGATGGTAGGAGGCTGCTGCGTATGTTCGGACGAGAGGGGCTGGGCCGAGAACCCGCTGGTCTACTGCGATGGGCACGCGTGCAGCGTGGCTGTCCACCAAGGTACGGGGGTGGCCCGCGGGTGGCGGCGGGACCCTGGGGGTGGTGCGCGCGGGACGCCCCCGGCCGCGCCCTCCGGAGACCTCCCGGGGCTCGTGCGCCCCTCCCCCACCCTACCTGAAGGGAAGGGAGGCGTGGGGGGCTCCCCCCCGCCAGGTCCTGGAGGACCAGGTCAGGCATTGTTTTCTTGCCTATTGTTCCAGTCCTGCGCCCCCCACCCCAAGTTGAGGGAGTTTGGGGAGAGTCTAGGGAGCAATGAGTGAACTCCCCACGCCCCACACCGCCAGTGTCGGGGCTGCTGGGGGAATGTTTACCTGCGAGATGTCCCCTCCCGCCCGGATATTTTGGTCCCAGCTCCGGGAGGAAGAGGTCAAGGGGGGGTCATCCCCCCTCGCTTCCGGATACTGGGAGGAGCGGAATTGGGAAGGGAGGAGAAGGGTCCCAGGGGAGAAGGGACTCCTAAAATCCTCCCGGGAAGAGCTGAGGATAGGAGAGAGGCTGTGCAGGGGGCCCGAATTGAGAAGAGGGAGGTTTGGAGTTTCCCCCAGCAGCACATGGTTCGGGAGTTAACTCCTTGAGGAATCTTGCCGAGGGCGCAGGCTGGCATCTTCCGCCCGTCTGGCACAGGCAGCTGGGCCCCCCCTTCCTGGGACAACCCTTAATGCTGTCGCTGCGGGATCTTCCCGCCACTCTACTCTTGGTTACTAGCACTGCACCTGCCTCAGCCTTGACTTGCGACTTGTACCCGTGATAGTTAGAGGCAGCAGATGAGGTCCCTGGACCCCCTACTTCCCTGCCTTGTCCCTTACTGGCCCTTTAAGAAACCCCCCCCCCCATAACAACAAAACGTGTTTGAGTGTCGTGACTGTTGTCCCCTCTGTTTTTCTCTGTTCCGGTGCTGAGGGCTGGTCCCAGGCAGGAGCTGGGAAACAAGTCCAGAAAGGGCGTGGGGGGAGGATCTTCTAGAAGTTTAAGGTCAAGGACTCCTACTTCCCGCTCCTGTTTGTAGTGCTGGGTTGTGTGGTTAAAGGCTGGTGTTGTGCTGTTGTTCATTCCTGAAGTCCTGCTGGTTAGCGAGTGACCCCCAGTCAGGGGAGCAGCCCCCCCTGCTGGAACTGGCTCTGGCACTCCCTTCCCCTGTTACTCTGGGAAAGTGCCACTGGCTGACAGCTTTGCTCACTGAGTCTCCTCCCCCACCCCAGCTTGCTATGGCATCGTTCAGGTGCCAACGGGACCCTGGTTCTGCCGGAAGTGTGAATCTCAGGAGCGAGCAGCCAGGGTGGTGAGTTCGAGGCTGCCCTCCCCTCACCCTGGGCCCCCAGCATCTCCTGGTTGAGCTAGGGGACGTTGAGGCTAAGGCTAGGGTGGGACTTAGCTCTGTCACACGGACTTCCTGTTTTCTGCACATTGACTGCCAACCCCTCTCTCCCTTAGCCATTCCCTCACTCTGCCCCACCTCAGGCATGGGGACTTTGGTTTTTACTTGTTTGAACTTTTTATTATGGAAAGTTTCCAACATGTATGAAAGTAGAAGGAATACTATATAATGAACCTCACGTCCCCATCCTCATCTTCAACAACTACCAACTCATGGCCAATCCTGTTTCTGCTATACTCCCACTCATTCGCCCTAGATCTTACCATTTCATCCTGGGGCCCTTTGAATGTGTTCAGGGAGGGCCCAGCTCAGCAGATCCCCCAACCCCTGTGCCCCTTACGTTGGCAGAGGTGTGAGCTGTGCCCACACAAAGACGGGGCGTTGAAGAGGACTGATAATGGAGGTGAGACCCCCGAGCAGGGTCTGGGGAGGCAGGAGTGGACTGGGAGGGGTGGAGGCTGGGTTTTCTTCCCCAGCTGCTCTGGAATCACATGGGAAGGCTGTGGAGAAGGGAACGGTCTGCAGCACGGGGTTGTGAGGGGTGGGGTCTCTGGCTCGCCATTGGCAGCTGAAGCCAGCCTGTCACTGCCCCAGGCTGGGCCCACGTGGTGTGTGCCCTCTACATCCCTGAGGTGCAGTTTGCCAACGTGCTCACCATGGAGCCCATCGTGCTGCAGTACGTGCCTCATGATCGCTTCAACAAGGTCAGCAGCCCCTGCCATCCCCTAGCAGTACCCTCCCTGGCCAACCATCCTTGAGTTCCTCTAGCACTTTCTTTATCCAGTATAATTTGATTCTGTCCAACCAGCACAGGGAACTAAGGAGGTGGGGAGGTACCTACCACTGAGCCCCCTTCTATTGACAGACACACACTTGTGTTCTGGGACTCAGGTGGAATAGTCTCCTTTGCAGTCATGCTGCCAGAGGATAGACCTTCAAAAGTAATTCATGCATTCGTTCACTAGACACATTTTATTGAGTGCCTACTATGTGCCAGACCTGGTACAAGGTAACAGGCACACAGTGTCCCATATTGATCAAGACAGACGTGTTGCCTGCCCTGTGGAACTGACACTCTTTTTTTTTTTTGAGACAGAGTCTCACTTTGTTGCCCAGGCTAGAGTGCCATGGTATCAGCCTAGCTCATAGCAACCTCTAACTCCTGGGATCCTCCTGCCTCAGCCTCCCAAGTAGCTGGGACCTTCGGCATGCACTAATACCTGGCCAATTATATATATATATATATATATATTTTTTTTTTAGTTGTCCAGCTAATTTCTTTCTATTTTTTTAGTAGAGATGGGGTCTTGCTCTCTCAGGCTGGTCTCGAACTCCTGAGCTCAAATGATCCTCCCGCCTTAGCCTCCCAGAGTGCTAGCATTATAGGACTGAGCCACCACGCCCACCCTGGAACTGACATTCTTGTGGGAAGACTATAAATATCAATAAACAGCCAAGGTCAGGTGTGGTAGCTCATGCCCATTATCCTAGCACTCTGGGAGCCCAAGGTGGGAGGATGGCTGGACGTCAGGAGTTTGAAACCAGCTCTGAGCAAGATGGAGACCCCTTCTCTACTAAAAATAGAAAGAAATTAATTGGCCAACTAAAAATATAAAGAAAAAATTAGCCAGGCATGGTGGCGCATGCCTGTGTCCCAGCTACTCAGGAGGCTGAGGCAGGAGGATTGCTTGAGCCCAAGAGTCTGAGGTTGCTGTGAGCTAGGCTGACACCATGGCACTCTAGCCCAAGCAACAGAGTGAGACTCTGTCTCAAAATAAATAAATAAAAATAGGCAAATGAATTAAATGCAATTTGTGATAAGTGCTGTGAAGAACATAAGGCACTGAAATAAAGAATACCTGGTGGGGGCTTATTTTAGATCTGGTGCTCAGCTGAGACCTGGGGCAGGGAAACAAGCTAGCCATGAGCAGGGTGAGGGCCTGGGTTCTAGAAGAAAGCACGGGAAACACTCAGAGGTGGAATAAGCTCCCTGGTGAGCAAAAAAAGACAGTCCCTGCCTTGCAGAGCTCACCGTCCAAGGCCTGTACTGTCCAACACAGTAGCCACTGGCCATACATAGCTATGGAAATTAATTAACATTAAATACAATTTCGAATCCAGTTGCTCTGTCACAGTAGCCACATTTCAAGCACTAACAGCCTGTATTACTAGTGGCTGCTGTGTTAGTGCAGACTGTAGAATATTCCCTCCCTGGAGAAAGTTCTGTTGGATAGTTTTGATCTGGTATTATGGGGAGAAGATGGAACTGAGGGAGAGTCCAGAGGATCCATTAGGTAGAAGGACAGGGGCTCCCCGGAGGAGGGGATGATTGCATTGTGTCCTGCAGACATGTTACATCTGTGAGGAGCAGGGCCGGGAAAGCAAGGCGGCCTCAGGAGCCTGCATGACCTGTAACCGCCACGGATGTCGACAGGCTTTCCACGTCACCTGGTGAGAACCCTGCCCAGCCCCCTTGCCCTTTGCCCCCTGCCCCCCAAGGTTTGTCATGGCTGGACACCAGGTGGCTTCATCTAGCTTTTGTCTCTTGGGTGCTGGTAGCAGTGCTTGCCTTGGATGGTCTTGGCTTTGCCTCAGCAGGGGTCCCAGAGGGTAGGAGGAAGGTGGCTGGTCTGGTCTGGTCTGGTCTGTGGCCATTGCCGTCAGGCTGACTTCTCCCGGTTAGTGCCCAGATGGCAGGCCTGCTGTGTGAGGAAGAGGTGCTGGAGGTGGACAACGTCAAGTACTGCGGCTACTGCAAGTACCACTTCAGCAAGATGGTGAGTCCTGCCTGGTCAGTCACGGTGTGGAGGGCGTGGGCTCTAGGCCAGGCCTGTGCCTGGCGCTGGGAGGACAGAGAGGGAAAGAACCCAGTCCCTGCCCTTGAAGCTGTCCATTCAGTGGGGACTAAATTCCCAGGTATGAACAGGAGCTGAACTAAGCAGCCCATCCCAGAAGACAGAGCTCAGGCCCTGCCTGTCAGGCAGAGTCTGGGGGGCTGCAAGGAAGAGGTGGCATTTAAGCTAAGTAGGGGTGGAAATAAGCCAACATTTCTGTAGGAGTCACCATTTACTCTGCCCCAGTCTTTGTACTCAGTTCTTCACATGTGCTATTCTGTGTGATCCTCCCACCAACCCTAAAAACTAGGTGGACTGTATTTTCCCCATTTTACAGATGAGTAAATGAAGGCTCACTGAGGCCACATAACTTAGAGTTGGTGGATGGGATTCAGACCAGGTAGCCTGATTGGAAAGCTCCGTAGGAGCCTGCCAAGCAGAGAGAAAGGAGCCCCCGGCAGAGGGCTGGTGTGATAAAAAAGGCACACACATGTGGTAGGAGGACAGGGTGTTTGGTGAGGAAGAGGCAGGAGGTGAGGTGAGAAAGCTTAGGCAGTGTCAGAGCTGGGCTTGCTTCAGCCCCAGGCTTCAGGGGCCCTAGGAGAGGCTGGGAAGGGTACTCGCTATGTTCGTGGAGAGACTCGCGTGTTCCAAAAGCTGCGTAGAGTCCTAGAGAGGTAGGCTGCGGCTTGGACCTCCCCTCGCCAGGCCACAGGCTCATAAGGCTTGTAAGCGGGAGAGTAACATGATCAGATTTGTTTTTTAGGAAGATTACCCTGGCAGCCGCTGCAAAGCTGGATTGGAAGGGCCCAGCCTGGTGGCCGGGAGACAGCTGCGAGGAGGGGGGTTGGAGGGATGAGGCTGGACGCTAGAACTGTTCCTGGGTAGACTTGCCTAAGTGTGGGGGTGGCTGAGAAGCAGGAGTTGAGGGTACCATATAGGATCCAGGCTCTACACACTGGGTGGATGGAACTTGAACACATGAATGGAGGATGCGGCTGGCTTCTGTGGGGTGAGCACACGTCCTGGTTTATGCCTGTTGCTCTGGCATAATTACTAATCGCTGCGCCCCTTCACTTTCGAAAGTGTCCTGGTTTGGATCATACATTATACGATCACCTTGGTTTTAGAGTTTGATAACAACTTAGGATGATGTAGGGAGGGTTGTTTGGTTTGCAGGAGGTGCCAAGTAGAGACATTCAGATTTGGTGGATCTCAGGCCTCCAGGCAGGGCGGTAGTGGCAGCCCCAGGCTTATAAGGCTGGCGCTGGCGTCCCCGGGTGTCCAGGAGGAGAAGGTGGGCCACCGTGGGCAAGGAGCCAGGAAAGAGAGCATTCAGCAGGGCAGGAGCAGTACCCAGCGCTGGGGAACCATGGAGCCGGACAAGGCCTGAAATTAGCCCTTGGATTTGGCAGTTGGGAGGTAGTTGGTGACCTTAGAGGGAGCAGCTGCAAGCCTGGGGTGGGTGAAGCCACAGACTGGACACAGGGAGAGCCTGAGTCATGAAGGGATCGGAGGAGGCAGCGTGAGAATTGTTTCGGTTTTGTTGTTGTCCATGTTCACTTCGGGTAACTGCTTCAGGTTAAGGGCAGTGTATCCTTTGGGACAGAAGCAGCCAGTGTGGTGGAGGGGAAAGGCCAGAGGGGGGTCATGGCTGGAGCAAAGTGTGTGGCTCAGGTGCCGAGTATAGGCTCCCCACAAGGGTGCCCTGCACATCCGCTGGCCCAGGGAAAGAGGCAGGAGCGGCCGTAGCACACTGTGGAGGAAACAAGAGCCCCGTGCCTTGCTAGGGGCCAAGACATGCCCCTGCCTCTTCTGGGCCTCAGTTGTTGAATCTGTATGTTGGATAAGCCAGCTGGGGAAGCTTTAGGATTTTCAGGCTAGAGAATGTCCTGCTGAGCACAACATCATGGAGGACATGAGTGACAGGCAGGGCAGATGGGGCTGGCCCCAGCCCCCAGGATCATTTGACCTTCAGGAAGCTTTCCCTAAGCTGGTGAGAGGATAGTCTGGCAATTCTTCTCAATTCTCTTCCCCAGAAGACATCCCGGCACACCAGCGGGGGAGGAGGAGGAGGAGGCGGCGGGGGCAGCGGCACAGGGGGAAGTGGCAGTGGCTTCATCTCTGGCAGGAGAAGCCGGTCAGCCTCACCGTCCACCCAGCAGGAGAAGCACCCCACCCACCATGAGAGGGGCCAGAAGAAGGTAGAGCCCTTCCATCCACCTCTCCTGCCCACACTCCCACATGTAGAGTCTCTCAAGAAGCCGTGGCTGGGCGTGGTGGCTCACGCCTATAATCCTAGCACTCTGGGAGGCGGAGGCAGGCGGGATCGCTCAAGGTCAGGAGTTCGAAACCAGCCTGAGCAAGAGCGAGACCCCGTTTCTACTAAAAATAGAAAAGCAATTAATTGGCCAACTAAAAATATATAGAAAAAATTAGCCGGGCATGGTGGCGCATGCCTGTATTCCCAGCTACTCGGGAGGCTGAGGCAGGAGGATTGCTTGAGCCCAGGAGTTTGAGGTTGCTGTGAGCTAGGCTGATGCCACGGCACTCCAGCCAAGGCAACAGAGTGGGATTCTGTCACAAAAAAAAAAGAAGCCGCCACGAGGTGCCCCCAAGATCTTGGCGCCTGTCCTCTTCCTTCCTCTGGGGCCACTGAAGGCAGGAGGGGGCTGAGGAAGTGGAAGAGTGGGGTCCTGGAGGGGAGCTGGGGCCCTGGCTTCCTTTTAGCTTTCTGTGTCTATGGTTCCTCCATGTCCTCCCCATGACATGACAGTGTCCCCACAGCCCTGCATAGCACATACCTCTCCACAGTCCAGTTTGTACATGCACATGTCTGTGTACCCTCCTGCTACACTTCACATGTGCCCTGCTCCCATCCCTCTTAGCTCTGCGTCCCAGGTGGACACCCTTGCAGGTGTGTGCTCACACGTGTGGTGCTCTGTGTCACTGGCGTGATAATGGGACAGGCTATTTTTAGCAGGCCGTGAGGGTGGAGGAGGGGCTGTTGGCTCCCCAGGGAACTTGCTGGAGCCACTCCTTCCAGCCAGTCCCCGTCCCTGCCCTGGGGGACATGACACTCACAGAGCCCCATCTCTGAAAGGGGGCCAGATCCCCACACCCACACTTCATGTTTGTCCTCCCAGTACAATATCTGGTCACCTCTCCCTCCCTAGAGTCGAAAGGACAAAGAACGCCTTAAACAGAAGCACAAGAAGCGGCCTGAGTCACCCCCCAGCATCCTTACCCCACCTGTGGTCCCCGCTGCTGACAAGGTACTGCTGCCACATTCAGGAGGGATAGCACGCTGGTCTGCTGGCCTGGGGATGGCAGTGGGAGGAGGGAGAGGTATATGGGGTCAGGGGTGCCAGGGACCTGGGTGCCCTCCCCAAAGCTCCAGGCTAGTGGCACTGCCTCTTCTAGCCCGGAGAGGGTCCTGCTCCTTAGCCCTACCACTCACTGACCCACCATGAGGGTGGGAGTGGGTGGGGGTACTGGTGACCAGATGTTCACATCTGCCTCTGTCCAGACAGAGTCTCAGCACTGGGCTCTTGTCTGCAGAGAGTGGGGGTACAGCCCTAAGGCCTGTTCTCCAAGCTACTGGGGCTGAGGAACACCCCTACCCTCACCCCCACTCCAAAGCCTGTCACTTAACCAAAATCCCAGGCCATGCAGGTTGGAGAGGCTAAAAGTGCTAACCAAGGGGATATGGAAGGCAAGCCCCTGGACAATACCCCAAAACTCCTACTCACCCCACCCTTCCTAGCAGGGGCAGGGCACATTAGGTCTGTCTCCTGAAATGGGCAGCATTGGGATTAGCCACGGGCAGGCCCTGCCCTAGGCCAGGGAGTCTCTAATCCAAGCCAGAGCAGCCCTCCCTGCCCCTCCCTACAACCTGCTACCCTCCCTGTGGAAGGAGAACCCCAGGGGCCTGGAGAAACTGCTTCCTCCTGTTGCCATTCTTGCCCCTTCACCTCCACCATGCCTCAGATAGTTGGCAGAGTTCTGGGCATCTGAGCAGGAGGCTCAGGTATCAGGTTTCCAGGGTGATGTTGCTGTGGCAACTGCCCCAGTAACCCTCTCCCTGCCCTGCTTCCCAGGGTTCACCTGGAAAGCTTGTCATTCGTGCCCTCTGACCTTCCAGGGGCTTGCAGGCAGGTGTCAAGAAAGGGCCAGAGATCTGAGAGGTCCCCTAGTAACTGGGTGTCCCTTGAATGTGCCAGAGAACTCTGCCCATCCCCCTCCCTGCCCCAGCATTTCAGCTACCCTTCCCCCCAGCCCCTCTCTTCCCCTGCTCTCAGAACCACATCTGGCTCCCTTCAGAACTCCAGCTGTTGAAAAGAACAAAGGGGAAGACAGAGACCAGGGCTCCGCCCGGGAGGGCAGTGCAAGGGTGGCTCTCATTTCCCCATCCATCCTCCCTCCAGCATTGGTTTGTTCAGCTCAGCACAATTTACTCAATACCTGGTCTCGACCAGGAGGAAAAGTGCTGTCCCTGGCAGTAACGTGAGGCACAAAACTCTCACCACATGTCAGGCTCTCTTCTAGAACTGGGGATGAAAGGGGAATGTGGGCATTAGTTCATTTAGTGCCCAAAATAATCCAATGAAGTAGGTATTTTATTAACCCGTTTAAGTAAATGAAGAAGCTGAGAGCACAGACAGGTTCAGTAATTTGCCTGAAAGCACACAGCCAGTAAGCGGTAGAGTGATGCGAACACAGGCAGTCTGGCTTGAAGGCCTGTGCTCACCACCACACAGTGGCTCTGCGGAACATTAATAGCAGCTGCCGCCGTCAGACTTACTGTCATTACTGACCCCATACCACATATCTGCAATCATGCTCCTTGTAACTCTCCAGGTAGGCGCAATTCACCCTGTAAGGACAGTGGAACTCAGTGAGGTCGTGAGGCTGCACGACATAACGCACTGTAGAGGCCAGAGCCCGCCAGCCCGTGCTCCTTTGACCACCACCCTGCTGCTCTCAAAGGTTACTAAGGCCTCAGACTTAGGACAGTACATTCCAGTGCAGAGTAGCAACTGTTGACGGGCGGATGTGTCAACACAGCACCCTGGAAATAAGAGGACAGAGTGGCTTGTTCCACCCCACGTATCTAGGGAGGCTTCGCGGATGAGGGACTTCCCAGCTGGGTTTTAAAGGACGAGAAGGTTACCAGGAAGAGTAAGGATAGGTTCTTCTGGCAGAGGCTCAGTGAGTGTGTGCTCAGGTGGTCTAGGAAAAGTGTAGAGGGGTCAGAGGATGGGGCAAGAGCCTGGTGGCTGCAGGTTGGGCGTGGGGGCAACTGGAATGCCAAGGCTGGGACAGCAGCCCATTCCCTTGTGGCTCCCCTCCGCTGTCCTTGCCCCTTCCCAGCACAGGTCCAGCCCTGAGGCCCTTCAAGTGTTTGCGTGGATGAATGAATGGCCAGATGAGTAGACCAGTACAAATTCTGGGATGGTTTTCTTCTCTCCCTCACCCTCCATCTCCCCTGCCTGAGGCAAAGGACAGACACCTTCTTGGGTTAAGTGTGCTCCCCTCTGCCTCACACCCACAAGCCTCACACCTGCCTCCATCTCCCCTGTCTACGAGTCCCCACTGTCTCCCTCCTTGGAAGTCCTTCACGAAGCCAGCTCCAGGCTTTCCCAGCTTGCCTAGGGCCTGTGCCCTCCTGCGCCACTCCCAAGTCAGGGTGAGCTCACGCGCAGGCGGCTGGCGCTGAGCCCTCTCTCCTCTCTTCCCTCAGGTCTCCTCCTCAGCTTCCTCTTCCTCCCACCACGAGGCCAGCACGCAGGAGACCTCCGAGAGTAGCAGGGACTCAAAGGGGAAAAAGTCTTCCAGCCATAGCCTGAGTCACAAGGGGAGGAAACTGAGCAGTGGGAAAGGTGTGAGCAGTTTTACCTCCGCCTCTTCCTCCTCTTCTTCCTCCTCTTCCTCCTCCTCTGGGGGGCCCTTCCAGCCTGCAGGTGAGTGTGTTGGGCATCCCAGAGGAGGCTGGGAGCAGGGACAGCGTTTTGTCCTGAGCTTTGCTGGCAAAGGCCTTTGCCTGTTGGCTTCCATCTCATTTACTTTCAAGTGGATTCAGGATACAGATGGGATTCCCCACCAAGTGACTCCTCTCCAAACCCTCCTCTCCATCCTTCCCTCTTGAGCAGGAACTCTCCTCCCCTCCCTCTCAGGGACCAACCAATCCCATAATAATACTCATTGTTCCCTATGCTTGTGCTGCAAGTTACTATTTTTAAAGGACCCCCATTACTGTCATTTCCTATAAGCTCTACAGTCCTACAGTGAGGTCAGTAGGGTGGGAGTCACTCTCTTCCCATTTTATGGCAAGTGGGAAAGCTGGAGGGGTAGGGAACATTCATCCCAGGACACAGACAGTGGCAGAGCTGGGACGGGAAACCAGAGCGCTCTCCCCGCAGTGCAGTGCATGTGGGAGTGGGAGGAAGTGAGGGGATCTGGGGTCCCACTGTAATTCCGTTCTCCCTCTGTACAGTCTCGTCCCTGCAGAACTCCCCTGACTTCGCTGCATTCCCCAAGCTGGAGCAGCCCGAGGAGGACAAGTACTCCAAGCCCACAGCCCCTGCCCCTTCAGCCCCTCCCTCTCCCTCAGCCCCCGAGCCCCCCAAGGCTGACCTCTTTGAGCAGAAGGTGGTCTTCTCTGGCTTTGGGCCCATCATGCGCTTCTCCACTACCACCTCCAGCTCGGGCCGGGCCCGGGCCCCCTCCCCTGGGGACTACAAGTCTCCTCATGTCACGGGATCTGGAGCCTCAGCGGGCACCCACAAGCGGATGCCCACACTGAGCGCCACCCCTGCACCTGCCGAGGAGACCCCAGAGACAGGCCTGAAGGAGAAGAAGCACAAAGCCAGCAAGAGGAGCCGACACGGGCCAGGCCGCCCCAAGGGCAGCCGGAACAAGGAGGGCATTGGGGGCCTGGCTGCCCCCTCCCTGCCTGGTGCCCAGCTGGCTGGCTTTACCGCCACTGCTGCCTCACCCTTCTCTGGTGGTTCCCTGGTCAGCTCTGGCCTGGGTGGTCTGGCCTCCCGCACCTTTGGGCCTTCTGGGAGCTTGCCCAGTCTAAGCCTGGAGTCACCTCTGCTGGGGGCAGGTTAGTGACCCCTGGGGTCAGAGGGCATTTCAGGGCCCAGCCAGTCTAGTAAGGGGACAGAGGCACATACATGCAGTTAGAAGAAAATGTGATGGAAACTCCTCCAAAGGACAGGTAAAGGAGGGAGGTGACAGTCACCTCTAAGACATACCCCTATACCAGCTTTCTGCATGGTTGTAGTGGGAAAGGCTGGAGTAGATTGCTAGCAGGACTTACCAAGTTGTAGGAGGGGGATTAGAAAAGCTAGGAATTCCCCAGCCCTGGGCAGGACAGTTAAATAAGCAGGCACATCAAGTAGATGCCACCCCGGCAAGAAGTGACATCTTTGCAGCAAGAGGGTTAGATTGATGTGTTTAGCCAGGTCCCAGGGTGTACACTCCCTGGGAGGGGCTGTCCCAGCCACCTGACTTGAGTCTGGGGTGGAAGGTGACTATGTGCTTCGGTCTGTGTCCTTGTGCCTATAGGCATCTACACCAGTAATAAGGACCCCATCTCCCACGGTGGTGGGATGCTGCGGGCTGTCTGCAGCACCCCCCTCTCCTCCAGCCTGTTGGGGCCCCCAGGGACCTCGGCCCTGCCCCGCCTCAGCCGCTCCCCATTCACCAGCACCCTCCCCTCCTCCTCTGCTTCTATCTCCACCACTCAGGTGAGACCACCCTTCTGGGCTGCTTCTGGACTCCTCCTTCCCCGGGCAGGTTGGGGACAGACTACAGAGGACCCCAGCCCTCCCTGGGAATTGGAGAGATTGGACTTGATTGCCATCAGAATTCCCCCACTGGTCCTCTCTCCTCCCCAGCATGCCTAGTCCCCCACACCCCATCACACAGTTGTGCCCTAGATCCAAGAATAACCACCAGCCGGGATTCTACCTCCCTTCCCTCAGGTGTTTTCTCTGGCTGGCTCTACCTTTAGTCTCCCTTCTACCCACATCTTTGGGACCCCCATGGGTGCCGTTAACCCCCTCCTCACCCAAGCCGAGAGCAGCCACACAGGTATGTGAGTCTCTGACCCTGTTCCCCTTTCTTCCCAAAGGCCTAAGTGGCACCCATCACCTGCATGTGACCTCAGAAAGAATGGGAGGGCTTTCTGACTGCCCTTTCCCTCTGGCCATTGCCATCCCTATAAAAAGAAAAATTTACATACAACAAACCAGGCAGGCAGGGCAGGGCAGAATTTCCACTGTATTTTACAGAAGAAAAAGGCAGAGGGATAGATATCTTGTTCCAGGCAGTTGAGGTAGGGAATGGCAGAGCCAGAGCTCAAATTCTAGTCTCCTGACTCCAAGCCCGGTGCTTTTACCGCTGCAGCCTAGCTCCCCGCTGGCCTCTTAGCATGTTACAGAGGACCCACCAGTTGGGCAACCTGCAGTCCGGGTATTTAGGAGTTAAGGGGGCGGGCCACAAGCTCCCTGCCCTCTCCCTGGAGAGTCAGCCCAGCCCCAGGGAGCTAATTGGTGCAAAGACACCGCCGGTCAGGCTAGGGGGCAGGGCTTACTGCTAGGCTGCCAGTTCAAGTAAGTCTTCTTAAAGGGGCCGAAGTATAATTCTAGGTTTAAGACTCCATGGAGTAGGGTGACTATATTTCTCAACTCAAAGCGGGATTTTGTGGCCTAGTGAAAAGTTTTGTCTTCTGAATTAGGCAATTATGAATATAAAAAGTCGTACAAAGCTAATTATGATAACTACAATTATTAAGGGATTGCTGCATACCAGCTAAACCCTTTAGCTAAACACATTTATTACCTTCTTTTAATCCTAATGGTCACTTCAGAGAGGCTAGTTACAAGCCCAAGGTCACACAACAAGTTAGTGTCAGGTTCAAGTTCAATTCAGATCTGTCTTGGCCTCAAATATTTATAAGCTTCCAGGAAAGAAATTGGGAGGCAGATCTGAAGCTAGTGAGGTAGCCAGAGCCTTTCTTCCAAGAGAAGGGAAGGGAGCAGATGCCAAGGCTTTGCCTCCCAGGGGGTAGCGTTTCCTAGTCAGAGACCTTGGCGCCTTACCATCTTGAACTGCCAGTCTGGGGTAGGAGGGTCCTGGGGAAGGGGGTCTGCAGTGAGGTCCCAGATCCCCTACCACCCCCGCCCTCCCTGTGGGACCCTGAGGCGGAAGGCACCTTTCCCCTCGCTGATCCCTGCCTTCCCTTCTCCATCCAAGAGCCAGACCTGGAGGACTGCAGCTTCCGATGTCGGGGGACCTCCCCCCAGGAGAGTCTGTCTTCCATGTGAGGGAGGGAGCGGTGGCTTGGGGAAGGGCTGGGAGCCGGGCAGGAGGGACACTCAGGGGAGGAGGTGGGGAGAGACTGGAACTCCTGAGGGGGGAGGAGGGGGGATCCTGGACTGGTCAGGTCAGTCTGAGTCCCGTTTTCCCTCTGACTGCAGGTCTCCCATCAGCAGCCTCCCTGCACTCTTCGACCAGACAGCCTCTGCACCCTGCGGGGGTGTCCAATTAGACCCTGCAGCCCCAGGGACTACTAACATGGAGCAGCTGCTGGAGAAGCAGGGCGACGGGGAGGCCGGTGTCAACAGTGAGGAGGGGTGGCACCGGAGAGACCTGCCCCAGGGCCCCAACTCTGGTCACCTTTCTCCCGAGATCCCCACACCCCTATAAGGTTCTGCCCCTAGGCGCCGCCCCACCTTGACTCCAGGCAACCGGGGCCTCGCCTTTAACCCTTGCTAGGCCTTGCTTACCGCCCCTCCCCCTGCGCCCCGCCTTTGGCCCTCACGACCTCCTGCCCCAGACCTTACCAAACCCCAAACCCTAACTTCCGCCCACCCCTTCTCTCCCAATCTTGTGGCCTGGACCCTCGCGCCTTAGTCCCCATCCCTGGTCCTCACACCTGGCTCCTGAGGTCCCTCGTCGCCCCTCCGAGCTCACCTGTGTCCCTCGTTAGGCTGGCGCCTTCTTTTCGAGGTCTGAGTCCTCTTTCCCCAGGCCCCGCCCCCGCTCCTCTGGCCCCGCCCACATCTCATAGTCGGGGGCCTCAGGCACCTTCGCTCTCTCTGCAGTCGTGGAGATGCTGAAGGCCCTGCACGCGCTGCAGAAGGAAAACCAGCGGCTGCAGGAGCAGATCCTGAGCCTGACGGCCAAGAAGGAGCGGCTGCAGATTCTCAACGTGCAGCTCTCTGTGCCCTTCCCCGCCCTGCCCGCCGCCCTGCCTGCTGCCAATGGCCCTGTCCCCGGTACCTATGGCCTGCCTCCCCAAGGTAAGGGGGTTCCACCCAGCCCGTGGGTGGGGGCTCATGCTGACAGTTGAAACAGGCCTTGACTCAAGCTCCTGACCTCCCTCCCTCAGCCGGCAGCAGTGACTCCTTGAGCACCAGCAAGAGCCCTCCAGGGAAGAGCAGTCTGGGCCTGGACAACTCGCTGTCCACGTCTTCCGAGGTGGGCGCTGTGAGGAGTCAGGGCAGGGAGGAGAGGGGAGAGACTCCTCTTCCAAGACCATCTTTACCCTGCAGCTGTTGAAAGCTGGGCAGTGAAGTGATTGGCTGAGCGATTGATTGAGTCATTCGTGCATCCCTCAATCAAGTAATGTTTATGAGGTGCCTACTTAGTGCCAGGCACTGGCTAAGCAATCAGTGAGCAAAACTGATATAATCATGCTCCTAAAGATACGCTAAATCCACAAAAACAAACCAGGAGAAGCGCTAAAATGGAAATAAGTTGAGGGCTGTGAGAGAATGAAAGGAGGGAGGGATGGTTCTGTGGATAGAAAGTGGTTAGGGAAGGTCTTGAGAAGTATTTGTGAAGGGTTTGTTACAGCGCCTCACACAAAATAATCCCTGTGCGACTGGTGGTGTTGGAATAGCAGTTGCTATTGTTGTGTCGTGGTTATTTTGGGAAGCTAACAAACTGGGTTCTTGTTTTCTTCCTGCCATTTAGTAACTGTGTGACTTGGGCAGTAATAGTCATAATAATAACCAGCGTTAATTGCACAACTTGCACATTGCCATGCCCTGTGCTAAGATTTTTAAAACATTGATTTAGTTTTCCCAGTAACCCATAGAATGGGGTACTACTGTTACCTCCAGATTAAGAGTGGGTACACTAAGCTGACCCCACCGAGTCTACCTAAGCCATTGGATTGTGGAGACTGAATTTGAACCTGAGCCTTTCACTCCAGCTGTAGTGCTCTTGCCTGCAATTTCTTAACCTGTCTGAGAATCAGTGGCTTCACCCATAAAATGGTAATAACAAGATAGCATAGGTCAGGTACTAAACTCTGTACCTGCTTCCCCAGATGGTCACTGCCATCATCATTGCCCATTATTAAATGAGGACAATGAGGGATGTTGGGCTCCCAGGAAGGGATCAGAAAACATGATCTGTGAAGCCCATTTGGATTCTTAGCCTTCATCTTTGGGCCTTGCTTCTTCCTCCAGGGTGCCTGGGGGTAATGAGGGGGTTGTGTTCTGTGAGAATGCTGGTGGGTGCTGGGCCAGGGGCCAGAAAGTTCATGCTGGCCCTCTGACCCCTCCCTTCCCCCTCCCTCCCCAGGACCCACACTCAGGCTGCCCAAGCCGCAGCAGCTCGTCGCTGTCCTTCCACAGCACGCCCCCACCGCTGCCCCTGCTCCAGCAGAGCCCTGCCACCCTGCCCCTGGCCCTGCCTGGGGCCCCTGCCCCACTCCCGCCCCAGCCACAGAACGGGTTGGGCCGGGCACCTGGGGCAGCAGGGCTGGGGGCCATGCCCATGGCTGAGGGGCTGTTGGGGGGGCTAGCGGGCAGCGGGGGCCTGCCCCTCAATGGGCTCCTGGGGGGGTTGAATGGGGCTGCTGCCTCCAACCCTGCGGGCTTGAGCCAGGCTGGCGGGGCCCCCACGCTGCAGCTGCCAGGTTGTCTCAACAGGTGAGGGAGAGCTCAGCCCCGGGGAAGGGAATGGGGAGGCCGGCTCTGGGAGGGGTTCCCCCCAAAACACCCATACTCCTTCCCCAAAAGGAAAAATGTCCCCTGGTCTTATAGGGTATAATCCTAGTCATCTATTGACTAGACTGTTAGACGTGAATGTCTGGATGGTAGCTCTCCAGGGACAAAAGAGTCTATTTCCTGTCTCCCACTCTAGATTTTCCCTCTGGGACAGTCCTTCTATCTCACTCATATCCCTTCCGCTATAACCTCTGAGCTCAATGCTCTGAGGTCACACATCCCTCCTCTCCTCTCCTGGGCTCAGGGAGTCTGGGGGCATGTGGGGTGGCAGGAAGAGTGTTTCCCTGGCCATACCCCAAGGTCTGTGTGTTGTCCCCCCACCTTAGCCTAACGGAGCAGCAGAGACACCTCCTTCAGCAGCAAGAGCAGCAGCTCCAGCAACTGCAGCAGCTCCTTGCCTCCCCACAGCTGACCCCGGTAATGCCCACTTCCCTGGCTGCCTTAGGCGTTCCTTGCACTGTGTTCCCAAGCTCTGTCTGGAAGGGCCCATCTCAGAGGGCCTGGGCTGGCCCTGGGTGGGCAGGAGCAGAAGGGAGGGAAGGAAGCTCCAGGCTGGGCTGAGATGGAGCCTGTGGGACTGGGGCTGGGGCCCTGTGGAGCATCGTGCAGGCCAATGGCACAAGGACTGTCCTCAGGAAAGGGCTGGTGTAGTGGCCCCAGATTACATCCTAGTGAGAGGACCTGGAGGGTGGCAAGTCCTTTGTCACTGAGTGTTTCAGTCCCCAAGGATCTTCTAGGGAAACTCCTATGTGAAGCTTAGATGGTTGAGCAGGTGACACCAGCCTCAACCAGAGCAGCTTCTTTTGGGTCTGTCTTGTACGTTGGGTTCTGCTGAGATTGCCTTTGGTGAAAAGGAGTTTTGCCTTTTAAAATTGAGGGGTGTCTCTCTGATGCTATTCTAGTTGGGATGCTACCCAATTCACCAAATAGAAAAAAAAAATGAGGAAGTAAAAAAATAGGAAAAACAAACATTTTCATATAAAGAAACATTAGAAAGACAGGAAACCAACTCAACTGGTTACCTGTCGGGGCCAGATGGAAACAAGAGTAGGAGTAAGATTACTTGAGGTGTAAAGTTTGATATATTGTTTTGGTTTTGGGGACACTGAGAATGCTTTGCCTTTTCAAAGCAAAATTAAATGAATGTTAAATATTAAAAAACAAAACAAAGAGGGGGAGCTGAAAACTATAGACCTAGTTTAGTGTTTTTCAACTTGGGGTGAAACCACTCTGGGACATTTGTGGTTGTCTTAGCAACTGAGGAACTGATTCAGTCGAGAGGGGATGTTCAATATCCCACACCTGGCCGATATTGTGCCAGGTGACAAACACAGATGGTGTGTGGCTGTTTTCTTGTCCGGATGGACAAACTGAAGCCCAGAGTAGGAAGTTAGAGACAGAACCTCGGCTGTCTCACAGGTCTCCTGCCTTGTGGTTCCACGTGATGGGTTGGGGCCTAGGCCAAACAGGGCAGGCAGGCGGGGGGGGGGAGAGACCCCAGGGACCATTGGCCAATGAGCAGTCTGGCCCCCTTGCAGGAACACCAGACTGTTGTCTACCAGATGATCCAGCAGATCCAGCAGAAGCGGGAGCTGCAGCGGCTGCAGATGGCCGGGGGCTCCCAGCTGCCCATGGCCAGCCTGCTAGCAGGAAGCTCCACCCCACTGCTGTCCGCAGGCACCCCTGGCCTGCTGCCCACAGCATCTGCCCCACCCCTGCTGCCTGCCGGAGCCCTAGTAGCTCCCTCGCTTGGCAACAACACAAGTCTCATGGCCGCAGCAGCTGCGGCTGCAGCAGTAGCAGTAGCAGGCGGACCTCCAGTCCTCACTGCCCAGACCAACCCCTTCCTCAGCCTGTCGGCAGCAGACGGCAGTGGCAGTGGCCCCAAAGGAGGGGTGAGTAAGGGGTCGGGGGCCTTCCTGTCTCCCTTCCGACGGGTGGGCAGAGATGGACTGTCAGAAAGTATATCCTAGGATGCATGAGCAAGGGAAGGAAGCAAATCCGAGGTCAGCAAAGTGCCCTGCCCAGATGCCAGGGCCTCTGCTTGCACATGGGTGCCCTCCTGCAGGGCTAAGAAAGATCCAGTCTGAGCATGGGCTAATCGGAAAAGGACCAATTAGAAAACAGCCTTCTAGGAAGACCAATTAGAAAAGGCCATTTCCTTTCTGAGCTGACCAATTAGGAAAAGATGACCCTCTGGGCCTATCAGTATGAGAAAGGACTTGGCTGGCTCAGGGCCACTTAGCTGGGTGCCCATGTGCAGGGCAGTTTCCCCAGCCCTACATATTGACACTGGCTGCACAGCATCTTTCTTGGCCTGGGAAGCTGTTCTCAGGTACCAGGGCCAGACATGTCTAATCCCCCAGCCTCCCTTCCTCTCTTTCCAGACCGGTGACAAAGGAGCCTCAGCCAACCAGGAAAAAGGCTAAACCTACCCATACCCCTTCTGACCCCCCAAGTGGAGGGGGCAGATCCTGGCCTGAGGGGTTCTAGCCTGGAGCAGGCACCTGCACCCAGACACTGGAGAGCCCCGCCCAGAGCCTGTGCGGAGGCCCAGGGAGTGTGGGGAGCTCCTGGTGCCGAGGACTGAGACTGAGAGGGAGCCCTTCCAGCTGGGCCCCTGCACTCTGTGCACCCTCCCCTGCGTGAGAGGCTCGTAGGAAGGACAGGCTCCAAGCCCACCTAGAAGTCCCCACCCTCTGAAAATGTTTTGGGGTCCTCCAGAGAGCATAAGTAGGGGACTGGTTGGACCTGTCACATAAAATAGATCAGCACTTGAATGGAGAGAAGTAGAGGGACAGGCCCTGGGCCTGGGCCTGGGCCTGTCCCTGTGTGGAAATCTTTTATGGAAGAAGGGCTGGCCCGACTTTACCTGCAGTTCTTTCCCGACTTGGGCAGATGGCAGAAGGGATCCCTTGGAATGTTTCTCGCCATCCTTTCCCCACTGTGGGTCACAAGCTGAGCTTGTAAAAGCCCACAGATGGAGGGGGCTGAGGATGGGGCGGGATAGCATCATACTCAGCCCACGCCTCCCCCACCTCATGGGGCCCCAGTGATGGGGAAGGGAGGGCGGGTGGCAGAGGCCCCAGCCTTCCTTGGTGCCCCCCGTGTTTGCACTATTGGATTTAGGAGTGCCGAGGGTGGGAAGATGGAGCTGCCCGACTCATAGAGTGTGAATGAGCACATGCGTGTGTGTATGTGTGTGTGTCTGTCTTTCTGTCTCTCTCCCCCTGGACCTGGGGCAGCATGGGCAGGAATAGGAGCAATTGTCAGATGATGTGGCACCAGAGGGGGGAGCTCCCAGCTCTTGTTTGCACCCTCCCCACCTCTCCACCTTTGGTCCCTTTCTGGGGCATAAATGGTTAACAAAAACCAGAACAGTACTCCAATATTGGAGAGTAACTGGGGGCTGGGGTCTTTGAATCAGGGTAATATCCTGCCTTCCCTCCCCCAGACCCCACATGGTCTCAGGGCCCCCTTTGGGCCCCCTTCCCCATTGATAGCTTGGTCCTTCTTCCCTGGCACAAGGGGAGCCCCAGGGCTGGGGGAGAGGGCAAGGGGGTGGGTAAAGTGCCACTTCTTTTAGCAAAAGCCTCCCTCCCAGAATTGGCCAGCCTGCCTCCAGCACCCCACCCACCCCCACCAACCAAGAGAGCTGCTTAAGCTGACCTAACCACCATCCCCTCACCCACCAGCTATCCCCTCCCCCCGGGGGTGTAGTGGGCAATTCTCATCTTAAAAGCGTCCCCACTTGCGTAGGGCCTGCGTGGGGGAGGCCAGGTGGGGCCCTCTGGAGAGAGGCGAGGGAGGCCTGTGTTCCTGTCGCAGTTGCACTGGGTTGGAGCCCAGGGGAGGCATTTCCAGCTCTCCCTGATGCTCTGTCTTGTCAGTCTGTCTCTTTGCATGTGTGGATTTATTTGTGTGTGTTTCTGTTTGGGTTTTTGTTGTTGGGTTTTTTTTTTTTGTTTGTTTGTTTTTTTTGTTCTTAAATAAAGAAAGAAGTGTATATTTTTGGCAACAACAGAAACGTAGTGCAGATATATTTTTGCCTGTGCTGCTCAACTGTTTTTTTTCTGATACTGAAAATAATATTAATATTCCTGTTGATAAGACTTTGTAAGATGTTAGGGAGCTGATAATGGAGGGGGTGGGTGGGGGTCCTTCAGAGGCAATTTCTTAGGCACTTGCAAGGGCTTGGGGGAGGGGGAGGCAGTTGTGATGACCTCAGAAATACTCACTTTTTATTAATGCTAAATACCGGTTAGAAAGCAATGATAGAATTCAACATTTTATTTATCTTACTCTATTAAGCCCTGTAACTCCCTGCCTCCAAACCACTGAAAAGAAGAAAATAACCTTCAGAGATTCTTAGAGTTGCTCATTCACGCCCTGCCCTTGCCCTAGGCTGGCCCACTTAGAACTGAGGTTAACTTCTGTTATGGAAGGTAAGGGAAGGACATCCTCCCCAAGGCTGCTGTGTTGAAGAGGGAGAGGTCCAAATGATTTAATGCACTGGAACCAAGACCCCCAGCACACTCTGCCCTCCCCCAGCCCAAAGTCTGGGCTTCTCCAACTTTCCCAAGCTGTTTGCATTCGATGCTGTGGCAGATTGTCAGGTTAGATTTGAAGAAGGGACCCAGAGGGGCTGTGGATTGGTGCTGTGTACCACCCCCCCACCCCTGCCCACAGCCCTTAGGAGAAGTAGTGGCGGTTCCTTCTGAGGGAGCAGGAGGAAAGGTCCAGGAGATCTCTGGGAGGATCAGGATGCCAATGCCAAGGATGGCTGTAATGACCTCACCCTCTCCCAGCCTCAGTCCCTTCTTTGATAGTGAACTTAAATTGGAGGGTGGGAATGGACTCAGATTTTTAGATCTCTGTCTGGGGGAGGGGAAGGATGTGGTTTGCAGAACGGAAGCAGGGTTGGAGATGCGTGAGAGTGGAGCTCTGTATGTCACAGCGAGGAAGGTGAGTGGGTGTGCATGCAGAGCCGCTGTCTGCTGTGGGATCACAACTGGTGCAGTGGCAGAGCTGGAAGGGACCCATCTTTAAGGGTCATTTGCTCCAAGCCTAGCAAGAGTGGGGGCAAAGGCTCGGTGGCAGAGCCAGGACCAGCCCTCAGGATCATGGCCTCCTGGTCCTTGGCTCCTCTGCCCCACTGTGTGGCTTCCACATGGCTGGCTGTTCCGTGCGTGTGACACATGGTGTGAATGCAGGGCTGTGCCTAAGGCAAGAGGGTGTCCACATAGCACTGACACTCTTAGCTCAGAGCTGAGGGATCCTCTCCATAGACAGCACACTTGAAGTGTCCTCTTGTTTTGTTTTTCCTGTTTGTGGGTGTTTCTCCTTGGGCTGCCTCCAGGTGCCCTGCCCATTCTCATACTGAGTTCTAGGGAAGTGCTCACCTGGGACTCTTAGGAAGGGCCTATAGGAATGAGGGGAGCCCAAGCCCCCTGAGAAAGGTCCCAAACTAGAAACACAGACAGGTTTTCAAAGGCATAGACTTTCCCTGCCAGCTTCCAGCATCTTCCTTGTTGTGCAGTGGGCCAGGTCAGGTGGGCAGCTTGCTCTCCTCCTTTGTCCCAGCTTCTTGGGGAGAGGTACCTAGAGGGACTGCCATGTGTCTTCACCTGGGAATCTGGAGGAAGGTGGGGAAGTAGCCTTGGTGCCCTCCTGCCACCGGCGTCAGTCTGGACTAAAAGTGTGTCTAGCTCCTGATCACTTTGTCTTGATCTACTGAAAACTCCTGGACTGAGGGGTGCTCTCTTTCCCCGTTGTTCACTTTCTCAACGTGGGACTTAAGTGGTGGGATTGGAGACCCAAGCCCTGGCTCCCACCGCCCCCCTTTCCATCCCAGCCTGTTTCCATGTAGCAGACCCTTCCTAGGGAGCGGGGAGGGGAAGCCACAGATTGCAAACCCAGGGGTTCCTTTTTCATTCTTTCTAAAACCTCCTTTATATCCTCAGCCCAAAAGGCAATGCCCCCACCACCTCCAAGCCTGGAATTGTGCATAACCCGGATCTTGTATCTTTGTATAACGGATGTTATTTGTACGAAGGGCAGTTCGTAAACAGCACTTGTTCTTTTAATAAAAGAATGTTTTGCAAAAAAAAAAAATCCAAAGAGATCCTGCTTGGTCTGGCTTTATTGAAGGGAAAGGGAGGCGGGTGCTTGCGGGAAGGCTGGGAGGGGGTATGGTCCACGACACTCCTGTCTGCACTTAGAGCAGCAGTTCACACGCCAGAGCGCGCCAGGCACCCGGGTGCATGTCGAGGACGCAGGACCCCGTGGCGTACCCTCCGGATCGCGGGCTGGCTCCGGGGTAATGACATGCGCCCCCGCTGCGCTTCCGGGAGCCGGGCCGTAGACTCTTCGTGGGGAAACAGCTCCCAGGAGGGTCCTCGCTCCCACGGGGGTAGCCTCGGGCGGCGGTGCTCGGCGCCGGGCATTCTGCTGACAGGCCGGTCCCAAAGGGGGCGCCCGGAGCGGCCCCGTGCCACGCCGCGGGGACCCGAGGAGCCTGCCGGGCGGGCGCGGCGTCCGGGCTTCCAGACCCCGCAGGCCCCTGCGCGTGCGGAGCCCAGCGGCGTCTTCCGGCCCGAGGCGGGGCCGGGCGGGCGGGGAGGAGGAGGGAGCGGAAAGGTGACCGGGCGGGTGAGGTCGCGGGCGCGGCACTCCGTGGGTCGTGAGCGGCGTGGGAGCGATGCTGCGGCCGGCGGCGCGCGGCGCCTGGGTGAGCACCTCATGCCCAACCCAGCCCAGGTCTCCCCCGCTCCTGGTTCAGGGAGCCCCAGTCCCCGGCCAGGCCCGGTCCTAAGCCCCGCCCCGTCCCAGGCCCAGCGTCCCCAGGACCCCGCGCAGCCGCCGGCTTCGCAGCTCTCCACTCAGCAACCTTTCCCTGAGCTCCTGCTGGTGCCAGGATCTCCCCAGCAAGACTCCTTGTGACCCCTTTTTCGGATCCTCATTTCTCCCGCTCCCCTTTAGCCTGTTAGCTCTTCCCTCCCAGATGGCTCCCCCTGGCCTTCCCTTGTCAGTGATTTTGTTTTTCTGTTTCCAAACCATCGTCTTGTGATGCCTGTGTGCCTTGCAGAACCTGAACCAGAGGCGGGACATCTCCTCCTGGCTAGTAAGTACCCCCAGCCTCCCCTCCTCCTGCACAAGTCCCCCAGGCCCCGAGACCAGGGAGTGGAACCAGGAAGAATACGGCCGTATTCTCCAGACTCCAGGCTCCCAGCGCCTTGCCTCTGTCATCCTCACGGCTCTAGGGGAGGTGGAGTCGACCAGAGGGCACTGGGCAGGGATCCCAGCTTTGGCGCTGAGGACAGCAGTGCCTTATTAACTGAGCACCAGGTGTGGGTGGCCCTGCTGTAGGATGGCAGGATCTGAGCCATTCCTCTCTAGCACCCAGGTAGGAGCCAGGGTTTGAGGGAGGGCAGTTGGACCTTGAAACCTGAGTGCCTGCATGGCCTTGAAATCTCTTTTCTATCCAGAGCTCAGGGTCCTTATGATGTCCTGGGGGGAATGTCCTTGCTGGGTTGCATCAGATCAGCCTCCTGTGGAAGAAGCCTGCCAAACCCCCAGTCCAGTGGGAAACTGGCAGGAAAGTGCTTCTGGAGTTTGAGCTGACCCTGAGCCCCTCATCTTCCCTGGCCCCAGGCCCGGTGGTTCCCCAAAACCCCAGCCAAGTCTGTGGTGGCCCTGAAAACACCCATCAAGGTGGAGCTGGTAGCTGGGAAAACCTACAGGTGGTGTGTGTGTGGCCACAGCAAGAAACAGGTGAGAGACCCTGCCCCACCTTCCCGTTGACCTATGACACTTCCCGTTGACCTGTGACCTATGGGACAGGATAGTATCTCCTGGGAGTTCCTACCCAACATGGACCTCTTCTTTCCACACATACCTGAGAGACACCAAGTGGGCTTGGAGGTGAAAGAATACTCACCACCAGCAGCCTTGAGCTCATTGTGTGCATCTACCCCTTGAAATGAAGCTGGAGAGACAGAAAGTCACACAGCCAGGCTGGTGGAGCCCAACTTCTGGATGCTTCTGGTCTCTTTCCTTCTCAGAGGCACCTTCCTGGGCTCCCAGCTCTAAGGCACAGAGAGGTGCGCCTGTCTCTTTCCCCTCGCTCTTTCCTACTTCTGGGAAGCTTCTGGGCCATAGGTTCCCAGGCCCTTGACCCCAGTACTGAGAAGAGATTCTGCCCAGGCTCTCCTGCTCCCAAAGCCTCCCAGCTTTCCCCTGTGCTCCTCTCTGGTCTTCTTCCAGAAAACCCTTCCCTTTCTGTTAACAGTTGATGTGACTTTCCTGGTGGTCTGCCACAGCCTGCTGTCTTCTCAGCCTCACTGCCTGCCTTAGACCCCTTCTTCCTGCTGCCCCAGCGGGAACCCTGCCCATATTCTTAAGCCTCCCGGGCGGGCCCCTTTCCTTGTTGAGCTAAGCTCTGAACTATGTTTCTCTAAGCCATGTAGTATGGTGTCAGCAACCCAGGGTCCCAAATCCCACTTATTGCACCTGCCTCATGCCCTCTGGGCCAAGTTGTTTTTTTTGTTTTTTTTTTTTGAGACTGAATCTCACTTTGTTGCCCAGGCTAGAGTGAGTGCTGTGGCATCAGCCTAGCTCACAGCAACCTCAACCTCCTGGGCTCAAGCAATCCTCCTGCCTCAGCCTCCCAAGTAGCTAGGACTACAGGCATGCACCACCATGCCCGGCTAATTTTTTCTATATATTTTTATTTGGCCAATTAATTTCTTTCTATTTTTTAGTAGAGACGGGGTCTTGCTCAGGCTGGTTTCCAACTCCTGACCTTGAGCGATCTGCCCACCTTGGCCTCCCAGAGTGCTAGGATTACAGGCGTGAGTCACCATGCACGGCCAGGTTGCTGATTTTTATTGGCACAGTTCTCTCACCTCTCCTCCCATCCCACCCTGTTCCAAGGTCCAGAGGCCTTGGGTCCAGCTCAGCCACTAACTAGCAAGGCAAGTTATCTCTCTGGGCCTGTTTCCATCACCCAGTTTCTGCTTGAGCAGCTTCTGGGAAGATGGGGGGGTGCACTCCTGCACCAGGTGGCAGGTTTGCTATGGGACCTCCCCTCCTCCCAGTTGTGCTGGTTGTTAGCTGGAGCCAGACAAAACTGCTATGGCAGTGTTAAGGCATGCAGGCACTCTCCAACCCAGAGTTTTTATCCTGGGAACATGAGAAAAAAAGAAATTTCATGAACCAACAGAGACTCATAGCCATTTAAAAAAAGCCTATTAGCGTAAATGTTGCTGATACCAGAGGTCACCTTGAAAATTCTGTCCTTGTGTCCAGGCCTTCTAGGCACCCCAGGGACTAGTGCTGTAGATATGTACTTAACACTTACTACCGGCAGAGTGCATGATGACCATTATTTATTTTATTTCCTTGTGACAACCCTACTCATTACCCCCACGTTACATGAGAGGTGAATTAGTGAAGCCAGGCAGCCTTCCTCCAGAGCCTGGGCGCCAGAGACTGTGCTCCACTTCTCCTGAGTTCCAGGACCTGCCCTGCCCTGCCCAGGAGGTGGGGTCAGGTCTTTGACTCCTCTCTTTCTCCCTCCAGCCCTTCTGCGATGGCTCCCATTTCTTCCAACGCACTGGCTTATCCCCACTCAAGTTCAAGGCCCAGGAGACCCGCACTGTGGCACTTTGTACCTGCAAAGCCACCCAGAAGCCCCCGTACTGCGATGGGACCCACAGGAGTGAGCGGGTGCAGAAGGCAGAAGTGGGCTCCCCACTGTGAGAGGGTGGCCTTGGCCCGGGCCTGATGGGAAGCCCTTTGTGCTGAGCGCAAGAAGGGATCACCAAAAGACCCCCGCACCCACAGCTGGCTTGTGAAGGAATTGATCCTGGTAACCTGAGGCCCCAGTCTGGGGCAGCTGGGAGTGGGCCCCTAGTTCAGCACCCACCGGTGGTGAAGACAGCATTAAACAAGCATGTCCACCCAGAGTGGCGTCCCTGTGGTCACTGGTGTGAGGCACTTGCCTATTTCCTGCTCCAGGTTTCAGCCTGTATGTGGGCTGTGGACACCTGACCAGCCGCAGGGAGGGCAGTTCAGGTTCATCCCATATAGACCCTCAAAGGTAGGGAGAACCCAGAGATAAAATGAGGCTGGGGGATCCCCCACCATTCCCCCCTTCTCAGTACCCCAAAGAACTACAGGCTCCAGAGAGTATGCAGCATTTATTACAAAGCCAAGAGATACAAATGTCCCAGGGTAGGAGGAGGGTACAGTCACAGGACCTCAGACATACGACAAGGTGCAAACACAGACAAACCTGTTGGGGGGGCGTGTCCCAACCCACACACCTGGGTTGTGATAGAATCTCCAGTCTTGCCCCCTCACCTCCTCCAGATCTATGTACATTTGAGGAAACGAGGTGAGCAAGGATCCGTTGGGGCCGGTCCCTATGGAGGTGGTCCACTGACCTCTCCAGAGTGGGGCTGGGGTCAGAGCTGCCATCTTGTGCTTTTAGATGCCGCCATTGCTCTGTCCTGCCGGGGCCTCAGCAGGGGGTGGAGAGGGACCTGGAGGGCTGTTTGTCTGTGGCAAAATCTGGGGTCTGTGCTTGTCTGAGGTTAACCCCATCCCACCCCCTCCACCCCAGCCCTAAGTCCTGCTAGTGAGGCTTCCTGGGTGAGGGCAGGGGCCAGGAGCGGGTGAAGCGCTTCACAATCCTAAAGCCACAGTGGATTTCAGGGGCTGAGGCCTCCTGTGGCCTGAAATCTTCCACAAGATAAATGATGAAAGGGCCACACACAGTAGAGAGAAAAAAAGAGGCAGAACCATCTCTTCTTTGCACGGAGTTGCCACTGCCAGAGGGGCGGCGAGGGAGATGCCATCTCTGCAGCCCTGGCCCCTCGGAAGCAGGGGATAAGCCACACTGGTCAAAGGCACTGTCTTGCAATTCTCTGGACATTCAACAACGGGGGCCCTGGTCAGGGGCAGGACAGCAGCCAACATGGGTAGAGAACAGGGTGCACCCCTACACGCAGCCAGTCAGAATTGTGCCTAAAGCTTTGGGGGCTGATAGGGCCCCCTAATATCCCATCTGCCTTGGGAAACATGGAGGGGGGGCAGAAATTTACTGGGCCTCACATGACCCCTCCAGTCTACCTCCAGGTGCCCCCCAAAAGAGAGCAGAGCAAATTACACAAGACCCCCTAAAAATGAACACCCCATCCCTCACACATACACACACACATAAAGTTTGTTTCCTGTGGCATTTAAATTAATCTGGTTGGTCCATAGAAAATAAGTATGTATATTTGGTTTTTCCTATGTACATATATATAGATTTATTTATAAAACCCACGCCCCCACCCCCAAGGTGGGAGGAGCTGGGGAAAGTAGAAGAGGTGGAAAAAAAGGGCCCAGAAAAAGTGGAGAGAATAAAGAGGCATGGCTGGAAAGGAGGGCCAGGGTCCCTTTCCTCAATTTAAGGGGGTCACGGGTGCGCCGTTGACAGTCATCTTGCGCCCCCTGCTGGTGGAGGATGGTGTCTGCAGGCAGTTCGAGGTGCCACCATTGGCAGCTGTGGCAGCCCCACTGGCTGTCGAAGGGGGAGTGGGGGAGGTAGGGTGGGTGGCAGGTGGCCCATGGGAGCTGGGAGAGCCATGGGAAGGGGTGGCTGGGCTGGGCAGGGAGGAGGAGGTGGCCGGCAGGGTGGCAGGGCTGGGAGCCTTGTCGCTGACAGACTCACACTCGGACGCCCCGCTAGTGTTGGTGCCCTCAGAAGGGGTGGGCACTGCGGGCAAGGTGAGCCGCTTGCAGGCTGGCTGGACGCGGTACTTGAGGGGGAGAGGCCCGTTCTGTGGGGAGAGGGAGGAGAGAGCCAGGGAAAGGGAGGGTGTCAGGAGAAAACAGGCCACCAGGGAACCACCCAGCTCCACCCCACAGTGCCCATATAAGAAAGGGAAGACACAGGGTCTTGGAGAAGACAGAGACACAGGGGCACACGAAGACCCAGAGACTTGGAGAGAAAGAGGAGAGAGGGAAGCTAAAACGCAGAGGGCACCTATGTCTGACCCCACATTGGGGCAATCTGCCAAAGGAGCCTTTCCTTTCAGAAGTCATCAGCAAGAGATGGCCCAGAGGCTGACCTGGTGTGGCAGGTCACCCTAGACATGCCAGCTCATGGGGCAAAGGATGAGCTGTCTGTGATTAAGGGAGGTTGGCCCATGTGGCCACAGACGAACACCAGCCCCCGCAGCGGTCTGCTCCCTGCCCAGCCCGGCCCGCCAGGCTCACCCGCCGCCAGGGGTAGATGTAGGCGATGTCCATGAGGGTGTAGTACTCCTTCAGTGGCTCGTCCTCGTACAGAACCTCCACCTGGGAGGGAAGCAGAGGACCCCATGACCCTGGTCAGACTCAGGGCTCCAGGCTGGGAGTCTTGGGGACTGGGAGGCACGGCAGAGGAAGGGTAGATTTGTAGGTGGCCCCTCTGTCCTCTGGGGTTTCACTGTGGATTTGACTTCCCTATCTGGGTTGTCCCAACATAACCACCAGGTGGGAAAGGAGCCAGAGAAGATACCCCCATTGTTAACCCCACCATCCACACCGTCTAGGTGTCCTATCTCCAGCAGCTCTCCCAGAGGAGCTAAAAAGGCTCAGGGGAATCTCCTGCAACTCTATCACCCCTGGCTGCACCCAGGAAGCTCTAAAATATACCAACGCTTGGGTTTCAACCCAGAGATTATGACTTAGTTGTTAAGACGTGAGTCCATTCACATGACTTAATGTGCAACAAAGTTTAGGATCCACTCTCCTAGATCCTCATTACTCAAAGTGTGGTCCGGGCACCTTCAGCATCTAGGAGCTTGTTAGAAATGCAGAATCTACTGAATCAGAATGTCTATTTTAACAGTATCTCCAGGGGATTATACATACACTCAAGTCTGAGAAGCAACGTCCTAAAGCTCCTCTGGAATTTCAGACTGGGTTTCCTGCAGCCAGCTGGCCCCAGAGAAGGCCCTGCATGCTTGCACACGCTCTGCCACAGTTCTGCACATGCATGTGCACGCGCACACACACACACACACACACACACACACACCCCATCTTGGTCCCATGCACCTCTGCATGCTGACTTCAACAGACCTAGACCACCCCACCCTGACTTGGTTTCAACCACCCTTCTACAGGGGCTCAGTTACACAACTGAGGGGAGAGGGAGGAGAAAGCAAGCCCTAGGTGACACCCCGCCAGTCCTGAACAATGGCTGGAATGCACAAATTGTCAGACAAACCGTACAGACACTGAGTTTTTGAAAGTCGTGGGGACCAACCTTGTACTTGCTGGGCACATCCATCTTGTTGCGAAGAAACTTGGCAAGATGCATGACGGTCATGGCTGCCGGGCACCGCAGGAAGCGCACCCCTGTCTGCTGGGGCAGAGGCACCACGGGAGGTGTGCATCCCAGGCCACTCCCTCCCAGCCCACATCCCATTCCTGGGATGGCCCCAGCCCTCACCTTCTCCTTGTCCCCATCCCCATTCTCCAGGGGGCCTTTCTTCTCCTCCCGGTCCCTGAGGGAGGAGAAAGGGGGAAGCTAGGGAGACGCAGGAGCAGGCAGGCCCCCCAGTGCATACATCCAGAGGGACCTCCCAAGGGAATGGGGCCAGGGTGGGAGAAGTGGGCGATCTAGCCTGGAGCCCAAAAGGCCTGAGCCTGGGCGGGACTTGCCTGGCACCTTCGTAGAACTCGATGGAGAGGCTGACAATCTCATCATCGCTCAGAGCACCCTTCTCCTGCTCTAGGACCTCGCCGCGGTCCTCGTTGGAGCCGTTGGGGACTGCAGAAGGAGAGAGCTCTGAGGAGTTGGCAGGAGATGGGGAAGGGGGCCTGGCAAGGACCCAGGGGCCACAGAGCTCCTGGGGTGAGCCCGGCCACCCTCTGGGCTAGCTGTCTGCACAGGGAGGCGCCGTGGAGGAGGCCGGAGGACAAGTGGAGGCAGCGCTACAGACCTGCGTGGTCCTGTGAACACACTCACCCTCAGTCAGGGGGTAGGCTGCATAGAAATCCCGTCGCCGTTTCATCTCATCTGGAGGAAGGAAGCAGGGTGAGGAGAGGACCACAGGCTGGGAAACGGGGCTGTGGGCAGGAGGAGGAAGGGTGTGCAAATACCTTTAAAAAGCCCAGGGACCAATTTGTAGACAATGTCTTGGAGGGTTTTGTCAGATCTGGGGAAAAATATACAGGGGCCCGTTAGCAGCCACCCCTGCTCCCATCTCCCCAGCCAGGGGACCCCTCTCCCCAACGCGCTTCCTTAGACCCAGCGCCAGGCACTGGCGTCCCTGTCTGGGCTTTACCCCTCTAGTACCTCTTAGCCCATGGCAAGCTGGGTGCAACCGGAGGGAGGGGAGGGGCCTGGGTCCACACCCGTGCTCTGCCAATCCTGCCACCTTGGCTGCGGGAAGCCAGCAGGGGTGAGGGGGACACAGGGACGCTGACCCAGAGGATGGGCACAGGCAGGAGGGGCAGTGCCAAGCCCACCTGATGCTCAGCAGTGGGCGGGTTTTATGGACCTGCACGTCACACATGGGGCAGTACTTGTTGGTCTCCAGGTAGCGCACGATGCAGGTTTTGCAGACTTGGGGGTGTGGAGAGAGAAAGGAGAGTCAGAGCCCCTTCCTACCCCAAGACCAGCCTCCATGCCCCCTGCTCCGATCCAGACATCCCTTCTCTCCACCTTGTCCCTGCAGTTCAGGCCTGCTCAAAGGCCCAATGTGTGTTTGGCGCATTTGGCAATTTCCCTTTATCCATCCTTAGGGAGGACGGATCTTGTGTGTCTGTGTGAGAGACAGGCTGATGTCATGTACAGCTTAGAAGGTAGCCCCGAGTCCCATGCCCCTCGATGGAGTACTAAACAAGAGCCAGCCTGTCGGACACCTCCCTGGGTCCTCAACCCCTTGCCACCAAGCCTATAGCACAAACAAGGAGTGAAATTTCAGCCAGAGATGCAGGAGACAGCTGAGATTTCAGATGCAAGTCCCTGAAATGAACAACTGGGCTGAGACGGCCCCTAGGCAGCCTCTCTGCCTAGGCTTCCCATACACATGTGGCAGTGTTTGCTCTTCAGGGCAGGGGCTGTGTTCCACCTTCCCTCGGCAGTGCCCCCAACCTGAGCAGAGGCTGCCCGCCCTGAGAAGCACCCCCTCTACCCAACTCACAGGAATGCAAGCACTCCACGATGGTGGTGGCATCGATGAAGTAGCCCCCACAGAGGGCACACATGAGGTGAGGGTTCAGCTCCGTGATTTTGATCCGTGTGGTCCGATGCATGATGCCGGGGTCGGGGGGTGGGGGGACTGGGGAGCGTCACCCTGGGAAATGGAAGTGGAGTCAGAAACCCAGGGATCCAACAGCCCCTCCCACGCCTCACTCCACACCCCCCAGCAACAGCTCTCCCTGAGCCCAGGGCCCTAATCTGCCTTGAAGACGGGCCTGAGGGCACGCATGTGGCTGGTTCCTTCTGGCCCCCTCTTAGTGCTCACTGGGTGCAGGGGCTCTGGAGAGTCACATAGCCTTGAGCAACAAGGTCAGGCTCCATCTCAGGAGCAGCAGGAAAGACTGAAGTTAGACCACAGGAAGTGCTACCCAACAACTCCCTCCCCAATCCCAATCCATATTCACTCAAGTGGTCACACATTTAAAGACTATTAAGAGGCCCCCTGCAGTGGCTTGCTCAGGCCCTTGTAATCCTAGCACTCTGGGAGGCCAAAGTGGGAGGATGGCTCAAGGTCAGGAGTTTGAAACCAGCCCTGAGCAGAAGCGAGACCCTTTCTCTACTAAAAATAGAAATAAATTAATTGGCCAACTAAAAGTATATAGAAAAATTAGCCGGGCATGGTGGCGCATGCCTGTAGTCCCAGCTGAGGCACTCGGGAAGCTGAGGCAGAAGGATTGCTTGAGCCCAAGAGTTTGAGGTTGTTGTGGCTAGGCTGATGCCATGGCACTCTAGCCTGGGGGACAGTGGGAGACCCTGACTCCAGGAAAAAAAAAAGAATACATGTGAGACTCTGTCTCAAAAACAAAATAAATAAATAAAGACTATTAAGAGCTATGAGGAAACTTAGATATATAAGCCAGTGCCCTGAACTTCAAGGCATAAAAGAAGGGAAGAAAAAAATTATCCTCGCTCCCTCAACCCCTCCACCCAGGTGCAAGTCCTCAGACTTGGTCTTTCCACTCTATCCTCCCTCCCTTCCATTCCAGACACTCACTCCTCCCCCAGGAAGCCTTTCCTGGAGACACCATGGGCCTGAGTTTGAAGGCAGCACCATTCAGTTTCCAGGCCCGGGACTCAGGCAGGGAATACTGAAGGTCCTTACATGCCAGAAGCTGGGAACACGCAGCTCCAGCCTGTCCCTAGGCTGGGCCCTGCACTCTGCAGGAAATGGCAGTCAAAGAGCTTAGGCAAAAAGACTACCATCCCTGCCACAGGGATTCCTGCCACCATGCCCCTGACAGACAGCCCCATGTCCAAGTTCCCACTAGCACACTGTGGTCCACGACCTCCCTTTCCTGCACATGCAGAAATTTCCCCATACGGGCACTGCTATCCTCCCACTGCCTCCTGCCCTGGTGACACCTCTGCCACCTGTTCACAGGCTGTCCAGCAACAAACCACAGGCTCTCACAGATGTCTGCCAGAGCTAGGCAGAAAGCTTTCTGTCCCCAGCCCACCCAAGCCTAACAGGGTCTGGTGAGGTCAGTCAAAGTCCAGCTCTTTCTCTGTCCAGCCCACCCAAGCACCCCGCCAGCCTGGCAGGGTCCAGCAAGGTCAATCAAAGTCCGGCTCTGGATTTAGCCACTGTGCTCACTTCTTGGTATAGAAATAAAACCCGCACTTAGAAGGGTCGGCCCCTCCCTCCCTCCTCTTTCCCAGAGTAAAAGTCCAGGGGTGGGGCCTGGGAGGGTGGCCAAGCCCCAACAGCTCCTTTACAACATACTCATACCCTTCTCTCCTTTCCAGAAAGATTTCTAAAGCCACCACACTGGGTTTTCTAGGATAAGAAATTCACAGCCGGGATCAGCAGTTTCTATAGAGACCCCAGGATGAGTCTGGCCAGGACCCAAACAGCCAACAGAGGCCCAGGGAACCTGGCCAGAGACCGAAAGAGACCGAGAGACACAAAAGCCACACGTGTGAGAGAGACCACATTGCAGGGCAGACAGAGAGGAACAAGCTAGCCCCACAGCAAGCCCAGAGACACAGTGGAGAGGCAGCGGCCCCCCAAAAGCTAAGGATGAAAGGGGTTCCCACCCCACATAGGGTGGCCTCAGCCAGCACTCCCTGCACGGGTCCCCCCTTCACAATTACGCAGAAGGCTGCCGGCTACTCCACTGTTTGGTCGTTTCCATAGTAACCCTATCCCTGGCAAGATGCCCAAATATTATTACAACCATCCAGAGGAGAGAACAATCCAAGTGGCTGTCTCTGATTGTGTGTAATATCCATTGCGTGTGTACGTGCCGTCTAGGCCTGCAAAGGTACTTCCTGTGACTGCTTGTCCTGTGCCTGTGTCCAGATGCATCTGTATGTGTGTGCGTGTGAACGGCCAGAGACAAAACATGCTGGGGGTCGATCTCACACCCTCAGCTCCTTCTCCTCTCTCATACACACATGCACGCACGCGAGCGCGCGCACACACACGCACATGCACACACGCGCGCACTCCCAGGCTCTTCACACTGCCTTAGCCACCTCATTCAAACACTCACTGTGTTTGCAAAACAGACACTTGCCTTTAGAAATACACACACACACACACACACACACACACACACACACACACACACAGTGCAAATGGCCACGCCCTAACCCTCTCCCTTCCCATTTGGGAGAATTCAGACCAAGCCTATGCCTCAGGCCCCTTTCTGGACAAGAGGGCAAGGGACTCGCTTATTCAATCAAATGCTCCTCCTTCTTCTGTTTAAGAAATGAGCCCCTTGCCACATTCCCTGCCCCCCCCCATCCCCATGGGCCTCAAAATGTTACCTCTGGGGCTGGGGGTGGGGAGAAGCACTGATTGGTTCCTCACTGATTGCCATGGTTACCTGCAGGGCCCTGCTAGCAGGTGCCAAGAGCAATGTAAACAGGAGCTGTTTCCCCAGAGCACCCTCTCCCCATCTCCCCATCCTCAGGAGGACTGGGGGCGCACCCATTCCTGACACCCAGTTGGTCCCCAACTGCAACTGGCTGGTGTGTTGCAGGAAGGTGAGGAAAAAGGGGTGAGGGGTGCCTGGAAGTCCAGCTGTCATCACTTTAGGGAACAGGCTGAGAAATGGGAAGAACTTGGCAAAGAGTGGGAGAGAAGGATCCTAAGGAGGAGAAAAGGGAGACCGAGGGCCATTGCCAGTGGCCTCTGTGGAGCTCCGAGCTTTAAGGGGTCAGTCCCAACTGTACCTCACCATCCCCAGTGGACCTGACCCAGTCACCCCCAACATAACCTTTCCCCCAACCAGAAGCCAAGCCCTTCAAGATCTTCTGTCCCCAATCCATTCTCTGGGCCGGCCCGGCTCTGGCTACGGTAGCAGGACAGGACCTTGATCAGCAACCAGCATCTGGCACCCAGTGCTGACTCCTCCCTGCCAGTCAAACCCGGCAGCTGTCGTTCCCCATCCTCAAAGCCTCCTACTAACAGAGAACACCCCCACCTCTCCATTTTGACCAGTCTCTTTCTGGAAGGTGCCCTGCAATTTGGGCCTCTCTTGCTGTCAGTTTCTTTGTGGCCTCCAGTGGATGCAGCCAGGGTCGCTGTTGCTGCCTCAGATGGCAGCTGTAGCACTCTTTCCTCTGCCCTCCCTCCAGTGAAATGAGCCCAACTCCTTCACTAGAAAGTCTCCAGGTCTTAGGAAAAGTCACTCAAGGTCACACATCCAGATGTCAAGAACTGCAGAAGTGAAAGGGATCTCAGAAAGCACCTTGTCCAATCCTTTCATTTTACAGACGAAGAAACTCAGGGAGAAATGACTTGTCAGAGGTCACACAGTAAGGCACTGGTGGTCTGTGACAAGGTACTGCCTGACTCCCGTCCCAGTGCTCTTCTTCACATGCTGGCACCCAGGCCAGGCTCCTTAACGCGTCTAAGGGGGTGCCTCCATCACAGCAGTTAGCTGGAGTGGCAGGAAGACCACTCAGCAAGCATTCTGGAAGGGAGTCAGTCTGGCCAAAACATGCCCATCAGTGCACATTCTCACCTTGAGGTAGGAAAAGGAGAGGGAAGAAGACCCTCATTGCTCACCCTACTTTCGTGGGGAAACTGAGGCTCCATGGAAGCACAGTGGGCCAGAGCACAGCATCAACATCAGACCCTGGGTTCTCAGGCTCCATTCTTCTCCCAGCTTAGCGGGCTCCACTGTGCAAGCCCCGTGTATTTGTGTTTGGGGCCAAAGGATCTGCCTGGGGACCCTGTGAACCTCTCAACTTTCCCTGATCTGAACACTGGAGTGAGAATCTGCTTCCCTGTTCTCCCAAGCATCAAAAAGGCCTCTAGCTTCCTGAAGCTGGGCTAACTCTACCCTCCCTCCCCTCACCTCTCAGCTCCCTAAGATCAAACAAAGACCAAAACCCAAAATATACACTCAGAGCAACACATTACCAGATACACACACATACACACACCGCCAGATATACACACCAGATTCCTCCATCTCTCACACTCACAACAGCCAAGGCCAGATAGACATGACACCACACACCCACAAATACGCACACAGACGCTTGGCTAGACACACCCCACCATACATGCAGCCAGACTAAAAGCCAGGCCCACACTTGCCAGATGCACAAGCCATCCCCACCCACCCATCCAGAAGCACACAGCCTGCCATCCCTGCTTGGAACCAGACCTGCAACACGCATCAACCTTTTGTGCATCCCTGGTCCACCCAGGGCAAACAATAACATAAGTCTTCCAGCAACAAAGGCAGTTCAGCTCCCCACCTCTGCTCTGGGGGCCAGAGGCTGGAGGGCTGAGGTGGGCATCTGACCTGCACAAAGATGTAACCTCTTCCTGTGCAGCCTCTCTCCATTCCCATGGCAACAGCTCCATCAACCAAGATCTCTCAGGCTAGGCCAGGGACAGCAAAGTCCCCCTTCCTGCCCACCCTCAAAGACTTCAACTTGAACCCTACCCAGCTACACATGGTCTGGATCCTGGGGTCAGTTTCCTGTCTCATTCCAAAGACAGTTCTAAGGCCTCAACCTCCCAACCCCCAACCACGAGAACCGCTGGGAAAATCTCCCCACCAAAAAGCTGGAACAGAGCTGGCTTTATACTCTTTCTTCAAGTAATAACACCTTTGGGGGGGGGGGAGTGGGGACGGGGAAGGAAAGAAATCAGAGTTTCAGGAACAGAAACAAACTGCAAGAGGCCCAGAAGAGGAGGCATGACAACAGAGTGGGAAACCACCAGGAGGCACCCAGCTCGCGCCAGCGACTGGGAGCCCTGGAGAGACTGAGGCAGTGTCGGGAGTAGAGTGGAGGACTCTGAGACAAAGGCCAGAGGAAGCGCAGAGTAACACTTCCACAATATTTATAGGCAAACTGCCACCCCTGTCCACCTCCAGGCCGCCTCCTTCCTCCCCAAGCCAACCAGAGCAATTCTGGGCAGACGCGGGCAGTGGGAGAGGGGGGTATACCTGGAGGGGGGTATACCTCCCACCGTGGAGACAGGGGGTGCAGGGGGTGTCTGCTTGCCCAGGGGTCTCACCTCCTCAGAGGTAACGCCAGGAGGGCCTGGGGAGGGAGGGGAGGCTGGCCTGCCCAGGGGTCTGCAGACCGCTCCTGCCTCCGCCGGCGAGGGAAATATCACGACAAATCCCGCTCTTCCCTTTCCACCCCCTCCACCCAAGCTCTCCCAGGAGCCTGGGTCAAAGCACCAGGGACCCCAGTTACCTGGTGGCCGCTCCCACCTTCCCCAGAGCCAAACTTTCGGCGGGGCCTGGGAGGGGTGCTCGGGAGAAAGAGGCTCTGCAGAGGTGGTTAGGGAGGGGGCGGGGCGCCCCGTGCTGGGTCCCGGGCAAGGGGACCGGCTGGGGGAGGTGCCCGACAGGACCCGGACCCGGCAGGGAAGGGCGCCCCCCCTCGGCCTCGCAGGAATCAAAAAGCACGTCCCTTCCCTCCTGGCCTCAAGTACTCGCGCGTCCACGCCGCCCCAGTGCCCACGGGAGAGGCGACCCCTGCCCAAAAATAAAGGGGGTAGATCCGGTAGAGCCAGGGGCGGGGAGGGGAGGGGTAGGGGGCCGTGATCCAACCCGGCGCGCACCCCCAAAACCCTCATGGCTGCCCCGGACCTTCCCCCTCGCTATCTCGGGAGCAGGGTCTACTAGGGGGCTGCTGCACAAAGAGGTGGTGGTCGAGGGAGACGCCAAATCGTTAAAAGGGGGAATCCACTTCGGCCATCTTGGAAGGGAGGAAAGGGAAAAAGGGGCAGAAAAAAGGGAGAAAGGAAGGCGGACGGGGCGAGCCAGGACAGGGGCTGGCGGGGCGCGGGGGGGATGCGAGAGCAAGCTCGGCTCCCGGCTTCCCCCCTCCCACAGGGGTTTGTAAAGGAGGGAACGGCCCCATCCCAATCCCCAGATGGTTATAGGGTAGGAGAAGGAAGGGGGAGTCCGCGCCCGCTTACCTGGGTTCGGGGTCCGGTGGGTCTCGGGGAGGGGGGATGGGAGGGAGGGAAGGAGGGAAGGGAGGGGAGGGGGGCCGCAGCCGTGTGGCTCGCTCGGGCGGCGGGAGGGGAGAAACCTACGATAAGAAAGGAGTTTGTGAAAGCGGCTTGGGGTGGGAGGGAGAGAGGGGAGGGGAGGGGACGGGGGGTAGGGGAGGGACCAGAGTTGGGGGGGAGACAAAATGGCTTTTTCCTCCAGACAAGAGTAGTCCCGCCCACTACTCACCCACGTGACCTCATTCCTTCAGGGTGCTCGCGGAGAGGGAGAGAGGAGGGGGAGAGGCTCGCGCGGCTTCTCCCCGCCACCGGTGTCCGGTCCCCCAAACCGGGACAGGACCCCTCCCTCCCCAAACAGCCTCCCTGACCCTGGAGGGTGAATCCCCCTCCCTGTTAACCGCTGCAATTAGCTGCTTCCCCTCAAAATATGTGTGCCCCCCACGCCACTGACCCAGAGATCCCCACCCCTAGCTGGGGCGCCTGGAAAATGGTGACAAGAGGACGGGGCTGAAATGTGGCTCGCAGTCCTCCACGCCCCGGCCTAGACCAAAGGGCGCAGGGCTCGGGCGGAGGACGCGACGCCTCCAGCCACGCGTCGGGTGATTTTCATTCACTCCAAGTGACACTCCCTTAAAATTAATAACTGCATCTGTAAGAAAAGCTGCCCCTTTCCCCCTCGGCGGCCGGATCGCTGGCTCTAAGACGCGGCGCGCGGGGACCCAGCCCGGGCGCCTCAGGGGGAGCAAACCGCAGGAGCGGATGGGAGTGTGGAGGGCGAGGCCAGGGTTGGGGGGCTCATGGCGGGGGTCTCAGTCAGCTGTGGCGGCGGCTGGTGCCCGCGGCGTACTCGGGCGAAGAAGGGAACGCAACCCCGGACGGGGAGACCAGCTGGAGACGCGAACTCGGACTCCAGGCCTGGGACACAATAACCCGGTCGAAGGCGAGAGGCCAGGCGGGACTAGAAAGCGAGGCGCCGGGGCTCGAAAATGGGCCCGCGCTTTTTCCCTGCCCTGAACGCTTCCCGCATTTTTCGCTCGCGCCGGGCGCTCCGCGCGGCTGTGCGCCTCCCTCGCTGAGGCGGCGGGAGGAGCCGGCGAGCGCGGGGGGCCGGTGCCAGCCCACCCGACCGAGTTGCCGGCTCCACCCAGCGCCCGGACTCAGGTCCCCAGTGGCTCCGGCGGCCGGAGGGAGACCAGGGGGCGGTCTTGGAAGAGCCTGGCGGAGTGGTGAGGCCGGCGCCAGGGAAGCGAATCGATACTGCGTTACGGTGACAACCGTGGGCCTCATTAGAACGATCGATTCGTTCATTCGTTATTCACGATTTATTAGGGATAGCCACGGTGTCTGTCCCTCCAGAGAGTCGGTTATCCGGCCAGAGCGCCATTAAGCGCACTGACGCTGGGTGGCTCGAGTTGGGAAATTTAGGAAACGAATCCGCCAAGCTTCGGAGCGTCTGCCTCCGTCCCTCCTTGCTGGCAGCCAAGCAGCCCCAAAGCTGGGGGCCGGGACCAAGCGCTTTCACTCTCTGGCCGGCGACCAGTAGACCTGCGGACACTGGCCGCCGAGTGACCCCAGCTTCAGTGCTCAGCCCACACCGGCTGAATGGGCGCAGAGAGGAAAGGAAGGGCGGGAGAGATTTCCGCCCAGAGGGAGTGGTTGAGAACCAGCGTGAGAAGGGCCAAGGGAGGATCCGGTCACCTGCTCCCCTGTTCCTGCAGCAGTTCCTCGGCCCCTGTGGAAAGGGGGCTTGGCGTAGACACGCCCACTGTCCCCGGCGCAAGTGTGTCGCCGGCGTGCTGGCCTTTGCCGGGGAAGACTCGCGCATCCACTTGCTCTCCCGGAGAGGAGCGTGGCTCTCCCGGCTTGCCTCTCCTTTCGGGCTTCAAGACCCAGAGCAAGAGAAACTTGTAGGGGCTTCGCGGAGATGTTGGTCCCTTCGTAATCCACACGGCTGCCCCCGGGATTGAGGTCTCCGCTGCGGCCCGTTAATCCTGGAGGGCTGCCCGAGGGGCCACTGTGCTGAGTGGGGAACCATTCACTTAACCCTCAGGTATTAAGCCCCATTCACTCTCTTCCCGAGAGAGAAGGAGCATGCTGGAGACCTTGCGACCTACTTAAACTCCAATTTAATCTCTTCCGTCCTGGACGACCAGTCCCCACATCCCTGGCCTTTCTAGTTTACCAGGAAAATCTTCGGACGCAACTCTTCCCACATCTGAATTTCTCTGGTTTCCCAGTCTTTATTCCATTAACCAACACAGAAGCATGTCTTGTGCCAATGTCAAATACTGCACTAGGCACTGGGGACATAAAGCTGATGAGCCGGGCTTTTGCGCGGGGCGCTCACAGGCCAATGGGAGCAAACCCGGAGGGACACAAGCCTGTCCCGCCTGTCCCGTTAGAATCCACAGCCTCTGATGTGAGCTCCCGCCAAGGGTGGACGAGCACTGGGAAGGGCCATCCAGGAGCCTCCGTTGAGCCAAATATTGAGACACCAAGTGTCGAAGGAACTGCTTAGGAGTACTTTGCGATCCTCCACAAAGGTCGAGACTCCCACCCTGCTTCCTGGAAGGCGCCGCTGCAGACATTAGGAGCCCCTTGATTTTGTGTTTGTATGTCACGCGGTCCTCTAGCTGACGAATACTTACCAGAAGAGTCACTGTGTCTGTCACAGACTAGAGGCTCTCAGAGGGCAGGAACGTGAGAAATCCAGGTAATTATTCCTGGCACATACTATGGGCTATTGCGAGGATAACAGCCCTTATCAAATGATTACTGTAATAGGAGAGGGTGGCTTTTCTAGTGCTTTCATGAATGTCTTTATCTCTGTGTCCTTCACACCTTTTTTCTCCAGAAAGCAATGTCCTTTGTCAGTTTCTGCTTATTTCCCCATCCTCCTCCCCATTCCTCTGTATTTCTAGGAAAAAAAAATGTTTGTTCTTTCCCTTTTCCTGATGCCTCTCATATTAAATGTTTCTCTTCCCCCTCTCTCCATTTTCTAGGGGTCTTCCCTCACTGCACCGCCTATTTCTCTGTAATGTCCCATCTTTCTCTGTATGTCACAGCTATATTCTTCCTTTCCCACCTTTGTTTCTCTTCGTCCTTCAATTGGTCTTTGCCTTCCTCGCTCTCATTACTCTCTTCCCCTCCAAATGTAATATTTGTAACAAGATAGTAACATCGCTTGAGGCATATAACGGAAAACTGTCCAATCTCCACTGAAAATTCATTCTTAATCCTACGAAAAATGCATCCCGAAACGCGTTATACACAGTGAGACAAAAACCTGTCTTTGGGTTTCCTGCAATCCAGCTTGGAGGCGGGGCGAGGAGGGGGTGGAGGGAAGTGCTGGAGAAATGATTCCATCATTGACTGAATAACGTCGGATTTTCAACCACAATGACTCTCTTATTTGCTACAGAAAAAGTGTTACCGCTGCCATGTCAACAAAAATATTTGGCTTTTGAGCAAAAGCTTAATTTCCAACTCCCGAAAAAAAAAAAAAAAAGAAAGGCGTCCCTGGGTGGGCTCGAACCACCCACCTTTCGGTTAACAGCCGAACGCGCTAACCGATTGCGCCACAGAGACCGCGACGATCACTAGGGTGGCAGAGAGCCGAGTCATTGGGAGCGAGCCCGGACGGCGCAGAAACCACAACGGAGAGCCCGCCACCAAACTAAAGAAATCGAAGGGAAAGGTCCCGATCCTGAGAAAGGGGCGGCGGGGATTGGGAGGGAAGGACTCGGGACGCGCACACTTCTCTTGCATTGGCACTGCGAAGGGTCGGCACTGGCTATCCTCAGGTTCTACCTTAAATGTGGAAAGGCCCAGAACATCCCTTTTTAGGGTGACGTGAGACTTGGGGAAACGTAAAGTCTACCTACAAGACGTCCCAAGAAACAACCTCTGGTCTTAAAAACTCCCAATTACAGCTGAATCTTGCAGAAAGCAGTTACCCTTCCTATCCTCTCGTATCGTTAAATTTGCACTAAATGGGCGCCTCGTATATATCACGCACTGTTCTGGGCCAGTGATTATCCAGAGCCTAGCAAAGTGCCTGGGACACAGTAGATGCAAAGATTTCTCAAGTGAATAAATAAGCCAGCAGGAGTACTAGCTAAACTCATACGGCATGTTGATAAGCGCCCCGGCGTCCCTCCAGCTGGGGCCGCAGCCCCCCAAACCCGGTTTCACAAGCGCACGTGCGCGCAAGTCCAGCCCCGCCGTCGCGGCGGTCCCAAGTCCAGGTCCGCCGAGATCCCAGCATGCACCGTGAGGCAAGGCTGTCCCTCACTCACAGTGACTTTTCACTTTCCTCCTTCCCCGCCTCCGTTTGGCTTCTCAACCAAACGATGCTGTACCGGTGACTGACAGGAATGTACACCAATAGAAAACCCAAGTAGCCAGGAAGAGTCGGCCTATCAGCCCAGGGAGAGGAAGCAGCGAGAGCGGTTGCGCAGTGAAGGCGAGAACCGGTTTACGGGAATTGCACCGGAGGTCGGGGGTCCTAGTACACCGCAAACATGGTGAGATGGGGAGCAAAGGGGCACGGGGAAAAGGATTGAGAAACGGGGAGGACGTCAGGGGAAGTTTGGGGACAGAGCGGGCGTAGGGGTCAATGGAAGGAAGAGGCTCTGGTTCGAACGGGAGTGGACCTCGGTGAGGACCAAGCGGCGACTGCGGCTCCTCGCTGCCACACAGTGCTCATCTCAGAGCTGCAGTTTCGGGCGTCCAGGCACTTCCAGAATGGAGAACGAACGGGGCGTACAGGAGTCTTTGGGGCTGGGGCTGGGTCGGGAGCCGTGGCAGCGTTTGCCCCCTCGAGCTGAGCCCCTCTGCTTTGTCTGCCCCAGTCTATTATGTCCTATAACGGAGGGGCCGTCATGGCCATGAAGGGGAAAAACTGTGTGGCCATCGCTGCAGACAGGCGCTTCGGGATCCAGGCCCAGATGGTGACCACGGACTTTCAGAAGATCTTTCCCATGGGTGACCGTTTGTACATCGGTCTGGCCGGACTCGCCACTGACGTCCAGACAGTGTAAGTGTCAGGGGTCCCCGCTCACACCCAGGCCCCTTATTGGACCATCCTTGCCCGATTTCTTGAGCGGCTTGGGTGTCAGTCATCTACCAAACACCATCTGTGAG